CACTATAAACTCTGCCAAAATTAGTCCTTACCTTCTGAAGCAACGGTAGTCGGCTTATCGACTCAGGAATGTTAGCTCTATGCGCTCATAGCGGCAAAACGCAGTACTAGAAAAGCTCTGCCCACAAAAAAATAGTTCGGTTTCTTTTGGGTACCCCATCGTATAATGTAATGTAATAATGTAAAGTGTCTGAGTTTTCCAAAGCTGCAAACCTATTTGAGATTTCAAAACAATACTGCTCTTTACCTTCTACCTCATTCAATTTCTTGAGATTGAACCTCTCCATATGAACTCTGGGCATTGTTTGTTTACTCACTGCCAATCTCTCCCTAACTTTTGCCACCAGCAGATAGTGGTGAGTATCACAATCTGCTGCCATGAACAACTGGGCATCAAGTATACTTGAATGCCATCTCCTATCAAAATATGATCAATTTTGTTGTGCATCTTTCTATCTGGAGATGTCCAATTAAATTTATGAATGTTATGATGTGGGAAACATTGTACTTTTAAGAATAAGATTTTTGGATGTGGCAAAGTTTACTACTCTGACTCCATTATCAGTGCTAATTTCATGTAAACTCCCATTCGCAATTGTTGCTTTAAAAATTCCTTCCTTACCTACACTGGCATTGAAATCTTCTAAAAAATGTTCATATGGTATTTAGGGAATTTATCAAATACCTGTTCTTGTTTCTCATAGAAGCTGTCCTTCATATTATCAATTTTATCCTCTCTGGGGGCATTAACATTCAGGACAATATATCACACCAACAACCTTTTAGTATTATTTATGTCAACCTATCACTAACAGACTCTACCCTCTTAACTGATGATATGATTTTATGTACAAAAAAAGCCTGTACTTAATTCATGATTCTCAATCCCCTTCCCACAGAAAAATGCATATTTGCCTGCTGGGTTGGTGCCAACCCTGGCCCATCTGACCTCTTGCACTTCAACTGAATCTAACTTATATTTTGATACTTTTTGTAACTGTCATGAGTGAATCTGCCTTGTACAGACTTATTACATTCAATGTACCAAATCTCACATTTATTTTCCTTAGCTTGGACCGTTCATCCAAATAATCCATCCAATTCCGAGTCCCTTTGTAGCAGTTTGTAATAAGCTTATTTATTTATGGTGAGTGGTTAGCCCCATGCCCATCCCCAAAGCTGGAAGACCATGCCTTGTTGGCTGTCCCTGATTGCTTATTCAACATATGCACAACTACCCTCCATATCTGGTGGCCGCCTCCGCTATTCTCAACCCGAGGACACACAGTGCCATGGAGACAAGGGACCCCCTTAAACATAGAATATTATAGCAAACTACTGTTATGAAGAAAGCAATCTTCTGGGATTTGGCACCGTGTATATGTGGTGTTAACCGACGTTTCGGAGGAACGTATCGCCTCCATCTTCAGGGTAGAAGAAAAAATATAAGAAATCTGCCAAATCCCAGAAGACTGCTTTCTTCATAGTCACCGTCGTGAAAGCCTCAAATCTTACTGTTATGAAATTAAACTTTGCTAAAACGTGCATGTAACACAGTTCCACAGTTGGCCGCTGCCAAAGTGCTTCCAAAAAACTCAAGTATTATCACAGTCTTGTGAATGTGACTGAATAAATAACTTTGTGCCAAATGCTTATCCTTCCTGCTGTTAATCTGGCAAGCATAATCAAACTTAAAATTTAAAACCAAATATTAACACCATCATTACATTCCAGCCACCTAACAGTCAACAATTCATATGATGCACAACTCAAGCACATTTTATAATGCACTTGTGATTTATTAGTACAAAACAAAAACTATTACATAACTAGAATTCGGTAATTTATTCTGAATTAAATGTTTTCACTTTATTGGTGGCCAATTACAATGCATTTTGTGTGACAAGTCTCAGTTTAGAACAAAAAAATATAAACAGAAATAATTAATGTGTAACTACAGTAAAATTTAATTCTGTGGCTGCAATGCTGGTGAAGCCGAAACTGATGCAACGGTCTCCAGGCCTCTTAAACTTCGAAATAAAATGGCTGTTTAACAAACCTGCAGCTCTACATTTCTAGACATCAACTGCTGTTTCAGATTTTTCAGAACTACTTCATCCATTTTAGTCCTTGGCAAAACTGTATGGTAAGCGTAATCCTCCACTGATGTATGAAATTCGCAATATATGCTATTTTACAGTATTACAATTATTAACATATTCAAGTTAGCACTAAATTGCAAGCCACTGAAAATCTTAAAAACTACTCTTTCTGACAAGTAAACAATTTTTTCATCTAGGCTAAGTGCAATATAGTTTTAAAAATGGCTTCATTAATAATCGCCCGCAATTCTAATATATTTCTTCAAATATACTAGCGATCCTCATAATATAAATAAACACCGTTTCATTATACAATATTACATGTATGTTTGACAGCCACACACACACTTCGACCAGTTTGAAATTTCGGGCTTCAGCGGTACCATAAGATGCATAAGATATTCTGCAATGCCAACACAAGCGAACCAAAGGACCACAGACACGCAACGTCGTTAACGTATTACTTAATGTCAGAGACAAATGAAGCAACTTACAATTTCTCTCACCTGAGCGTCACTGGTTTTCGCGTATCTAATCCCGTTCCCAAAATCAGCGTTTCCAAAATAGGGAGCTGTGAAGCTTTCTTCCAGAAGTACTGAAAATGTGGTCTGATAATCTCACATTCTCTCTACGGCAGAGCCCATGCATTATCCAGGCAAAGTGAAGAGGGACTAAGCAAAATTACGAAAAATTCTGGAGTCATGATTCAGATTCGAAACGGCCACCTCCCTAGTATGAATCTAAAGCATTTCAGCTACGTCATCATGCTCGGTATCATTTGTATAAATTATACGAAACGGCCACTTTAAATTACAAAGATACAGTGTAACAGAAAAATATTTTACAGGTGAATTGAAGGTTCATTAATAATCATATTTCTAAATTTCCAAATCACATTTTAAGTTATTTTTTTAAGTGAAGGCCTCCAACATAAGCACAGACAGAAGAGTACAAGCAAGGAATCTATCTGCCCTTCCTTGATATTTTTGGCAAAGAAATTAAAAATAAAAACATTATTGCCAAACAAAACTTTAAAAAATATACTCTACCTTGAATACCCTTAGGTGATTAGTAAAATTAGTTTCATACAATTTAGGCGCTAGTTTATTTATACATTTTCTGCCTCCACCTCCTCGGTTACCCCCCCCCTTTTTTTTCATTTTCATTTACATCAAGGGAGCCTATGGCTATAAGAATGTGTGAATCATTGAAGACACCATGAGTGGAATCTTCTTCAGAAGCAAATAATTCCTCAAGTAGTCATGAAATTCCCAGAATTTTATTGAACCCAGAGGTTCGTTACAAGATTCACAAGAGCCCACCACTAGTTCTGAGCAGACTAATGCAGTCCAAACCCTCTTATCCACTTTCATAAGAATCATTTTAATATTATCCTCTCATCCATGCCTAGGTCTATACAAAATACACAAAGAGTTCATACATGGTACGCATAAACACTTTTCATTTATGTTATTCATATAAACCTTTAAAATGATGAGTTATTTTTAGACAATAAGAATTCCTCAACAGTGAGGCATAAAGTTGTATTTAATCATTTTTAGCGCTGCGTTTAACAATGCCTTTTCAGTCACAGGACTTTTTTGAGACAGGGGTAGTTGGTTGAGGCATTATGCTACAAGACAACAGGTCACAGGTTTGATTTCTGGTCAGGTCATTGGATTCTTCAATGTACCTAACCCTTTCAGCTGCACTATGGCCCTGGGATAAACTCAACCTCTAACAGAAATGAGTACCAGGAATCTCCCTGGGAGTAAAGGATGGCTGGCACATAAGGCTGACAACCTCAACGTCATCTGTGAGCCGACTGTCTAGAAAATGTGGGAGTCTCGACATCTCACAATCCCATGGACTTCCACAGCCTGTTACGGGGATAGATTTACTAAAACTGATCTTGGTTATAAAAGGTTAATTAATTCAATCCAGTGTGACTGATGGAGTTTTTCCTCCTTTTTAATATTTTATCCTTAACATGTTTCGGTCTTATAGGCCATCTTCAGCACGATATCAATACAATTAGAAACCACTATTACAATATGTTTTGTGAATATTAATATATACAATGTTATCATAATACAATGAATACAAAATCTAATGTTTCTAACAACTATGGCAGCTTGTACTAATATGTTAAAATATTTATAAATTGCAATTAGTATGTTTAAAAAGATTTTGTTAAAATTTTTAAACCCAATTGCTTCATGTCCTTTTTATTTCTTCTCTTTGAGGGAAGCCAAGCACCTACAGCCTTGTGGTTCTGTTGTTTGGAGAACAGGATTTTGCAAACATATTATGGGTATTACGGGCCAGGATGAAACAAATAAAGAAAAATGATCTTGGTTATTTACAATGATGTTTGTTAATGAAAATATGTATTCATGTGACAGAAGCAACAAGTCTTAATTTCTTAAAGATACATCTACATGAATTACTAGCTCTGACAATTGCTATGATTGTAATAATTTTCTTTTATAATTTGTATATCTTTTGCTGCTTGAGAATTTCCCCAGAAAAGTATTCATTATTTCATAAGAGAATGAATATACATAAAATAAATTGATCTGAGGGTGCCAGTGTTGCTCACGTACAGTACAGATCTAACTGCATACTAGGGTCCATTTAACTTAGAAATAAATTGAACAACACAATTTTTCCTATTTAAGTGGTAAACCAAGGAATTTTGTGTTTACTGACTCTTCTATATATTTGTTGTTATATCCAATGTTTAATGGATACTGAGGTAAATTATTTGTTACAAATTTTTATTATATTTGTTTTGTTTGTTTTTTTGAGATGCAGAGCCAGCTTGTTAGCAATGAGCCATTCACTCATATGTGAGAGAACTTTTATTAAAAATTATGACACATCCGTCATAGGCACATATTATTGGTACAGATAAGACATTTATTGTTGGGCTAAAGTCAATAAAAAGTTCATGGAGGTAGGCCTAGGCCCACTGGGGCTGTAGTGCCAAGGGGGGAAAAAAAGTCAATAAATGAGAAGCTTCTCCTCACCATTCTGCTCTCAAACATCCTGTCTATATTCTTCCTTCAACATGACAGACCAAGTATAATACTAACAATTTTTTGTGGGGTTATTTTATGATGCTGTCAATGGACAGAATATTGTGACATGTTGACCCCTACCTCCCCAGCTGCACGTAGCGCTCGCGTAATAGGCGAGTAATCACCCCGCATCCTGGTAGCTATGCAACGCGCGGTGACGTCACGAGCGGAGCCGAAGTGAGCCGAGTGGAGCCGACGTTAGCCGAGTCCCCGCAACCTTGAAGCTATGCAAAGTGAGTCAACAGCGGTGACGTCACCGAGGGATATCGCAGTTGCTAGGCAGCAGTCAACAACTCCGGACAGCGTGGCTAGCAACACGGCACCAGACGACAATTGTCCGACCGAGGCTACATAAGGAGCAGCGAAGGCTATTCACAGCCAGTCCTGGAGCTACCGCCAAGTGAGTCCTCGAGCTACCTCCGAGTTAGTTCCGAGTTAGCCAGCAACTAGTCAGTTGTCTTGTGGCATTTGGAGTGTACTATTTGTGATACTGCAGATAGCAGTAATCGTAAATCTGTAATTTGGGTGATTGTAAGTGCGAATGTGAAATAAAATTCGCTATATTAAATATGGCGTGAAGTTATTTGTCGCGATATACGCCCGATACGCGACAATAATTAGCACAGATAGTAGAATGACAGATAAAAGGAACCGGTCAATTTTTGAAAGCAGCAGTTGTAGCCTGAGATGCCATCCCAGCATTTTTCTGAAGTGACAGATGAAGACCACAAAAACAATTTCAGGATGTCTGGTGTCTCTGCCAAGATTCAAACCGAACATCTCCTGAATGTGACAAATACAAATCTAATTTCATGGATATACATAACACAATGAGAATACTGTACAGTACTTCACTCCCAACTGAAACACAGACTTTCTTGAAGTCTAAAATCACTGCTGTACTGTCCTGCTGTGCTCCAATTTTTTTCCATAGTGGAGCTGAGCAAAAAATTCTTTCTACTGCGCTTCCTGTACTTCACTTCTCCAACTCCACTCTTCAACCATATTGGCTGGATTACTAATTATACATTAGTCTTAAGTTAGGGGTGCCAGCAGGCAGGCTAGAAACATAGGGTAGGGGAAGAGACCTGCCCACTCCTAGAAGCCCTTATCTCCATCATCCATTAGAATTTTTTATGAACTCAGTTGTAGTACCTGACAAATGCAGACAATCTGATCAGTAGATCTATTACATCAAAATCAACACTCACAATTGCCATAATTTTGTCTATATATGGAACTAAGCTTGTAAGAATAATGTTGGACACAATTTTGTATGATGTTATCAATTGTGATGTGCCTCAATAATTACTGTCCTTCTTAAATAACTTCATGCCATTCAGGGATGTAGCAAATATTACTCTCCTTCGCTTCTACACTTATACAATTCACTATATCACAATTAATCTTAATCTTATACAATTCAGTATCTCAATTGCTGTTAAACTAGTATATCTCGGTGAATGCTGGACTTCAACTGTCTCCAACGGCGACTATCTCAAGACTGACTCGGCGAACGCATTAACCCCCTTATATATCTGCAGCCATTGCTACAGAGTGAACCTTCCATCTCTGGGGAAACGCGTTTGTTGATTCTGCAATTCCTACGCAACAGCCCACTGTTATTGCTTTACCATGGAAGTACCTACTCCAAACACCTTACAATATTATAAGACTCTTTCTGGTATTGAGACAATTCTTTCTTATTTTACATAAAATTAATGAGTTTATCAATCTCAGAATGGCATGTTTCACCTCCTGCTTGAATTAATTCTGCTAGAATTTAATGAATACCTGTCTGTTACTACCTTTTCATATCTTCAAAAGCAAACTCAACCTCAAAAGAACCAGATCAGGCACTCAGGTTAACAGCCTACTTTGCATTCATTATACCCATTTTTTCTGGTCATCCAAAATCTCTCTTCCTTTTATTTATTCCTGCAGCCAAGGTTCCCATCATAAAGGACTAGAGGCCAGTCTTAAACGGATCACTTGATGGAGATTGCTGATTAGCTTCACATTCTGGCCATTTACTCATCCTGCTGGGAATGAAACCCCAGACCATCAGCCTGAAGCTCATGTACTCACTGACCTATCTTGGCTCTGTAATGTAAACTTACATGTAAACATAAAATAAATTTTATTCATTGTTTTATGTTTTATTTATACTATTCTCTTTGCATTAAGTGACAATGTTATTAAACTATTCACTATTTCACAATATACACTGTACCAAAGAGACATATATGGAATTTTAAAAATGTTAAAAATTACATAATCTTGAAACAGTATACAAAATATATTGTTTCAGTCCTATGATATTGCAAAAGCTGATGTCACAAATAATATAATCATTGCTGTTATCAACATTATTTGGAACTTGTACTTAAATTAATATCTTTGAATTCAGTGCTAAGGACTGAATCTATTAATACATATACAAAGGTGGGTGATGTATGAATCCATAGACTTCATGTGAGAAGAGCTCACACATGATCTTAAACTATTCTACACATGACTGATCCTATATCTTGGGCCCAGTCAATATTACAACTGGTGTGTTATTAACTTAATGTACAAATTAATTACACTACTCTCAACATTCAACATACCTGAGCAAATTAATTTAAATTTGAAAACAAAAACTCAAACGTAATCTGCCACACCACATGTGTAATTAACAAGATAAAGGAGGGAAAGAAATAATTTGTATTCATAAATATTTAAAATTTGCCTCTATTTAATTCCCCAAGTTAAGCAACTCGACATTTCTATAACAGGAAATAATTTTCATGCTATGCTTTCTCAACAGTTAAATTTCCAGATCAACAGGTATAAATGTTAAATCGATTTTCAAGTTTGCAACATGATAAATTGTGGAAAACTTAAGTTCTTCATTTAATTGGTGCAGCAACTGTACATTAACGGGGTGGTTTTGAAACAACATAAAGCTTACACATCACATTAGCTCATGTCACCAAATGCTAATAACAACAAATGAGTACATGCCATCACAGGATGGTAAAGTTTACAGCATGAGAACAGAACACAAATGATAAGTTACAAACATTTTTATACAAGACACTAATAAAATATTCTATTGTTAACATAATTACATTACATACAATTAGTGAGCAACAAATGCTTTGAAGACAAGATTTTGTGAACGATAAAACGTAAAATGTCTATCCTAATTGGTTCTTCATGGACAGAAGCAATCAAACTATAATCAACACTTTCACTGGAACTCCATCTACCTCCAACAGTGCAATATTTTTTTTATGTATTTCATACAGCACAATAATGAACAGTAAATAATGCCCCGTCAAAAGTTTAAATTTACATGAGCATATTCGCAAGAACTTAATGACTACTCTTTTCTGCAAAAGCTGTTAAGATAAATGGAAGAAGTCATAACAGCTTGAGCAGGTACCTTGGACTTAATTCCAAGGTTTGTAATTAGTTTTGGTGTTTCTATCTATGTCTAATGTGAGTTCATGTCATGCAATATTAAATTACTCATGAATATTAATGTTTCATCATGTTTATGGTTGCAGTTTTGGCAATAACAATTCGCTTAAATTTGACTTCAGTTTCATTTGAATACTTATTACTGGCATCACTACTCAACTTTCTACCTTCCAGCACTGGTGGTTCTGCTGATTTGTTTGATGTTGATAGTGTTTGACTACCTAATCTCCATAACACTCGGCACTCATCACTGCCAACTGTTTGGTAGACTGCTGCCTTTCCCTTGGTTGCAAGTAGCATGCCCCTAGCTGTTTGCCGTGAAGCATTTTGGTTTACTGATTGGTTGCCACCCCTCCCCTCCTCGGACACTGTCCGAACAAACATGTTACTATTTAAGGTTCGAACATCTTCTTGCGCTCGGCCACCATCCCGCTGAGGGGACAGGGCGAGGTGGAACGGAGGGGAGCAACCGATAAAAAAGTCGACGATAATGATGAACTTTTATGACAGCTTTTCTTTGGAGACCGCATCAATTCTGTGGACCAAGAGGTAATTTTATTTAGTTTTCAAGTGTCAACTTCCTCAAACATTTAGGGATGGTTAAATACTAGAGTGACTGAAAAGTAAGAGGACAGAAAAACTTAAATGGATTTGTAGATGCATTATCACACTGCAAGTCACTGAAATGAGAATGCTTCCTGAGTTTTGCCAAAACAGAGTCTCTCAGCAACAAGAATTATTACCTATTTAGTTCTTAAACTTCTGTAAATGACCCTGATTTTATAATATAGAAACCAGAAGGGATCCCCCAGTGAGTTGTTGCATGACTAGAACACAGAGAGTGTCTATTTCAGGTAATCCTCAGAGGATAAGAAATATTAATGGAGTGTTCTAGGATTCACATTGATTAGCTAAGGGAACTCCTGAAGGCCGTAGATTAGGCAAACACCCACCAAGATTTAGAATGTGTATTTTTATTTCATGGGGGACGCAGTAGCAAAGTTGGTTGAGGCGCTATGCTACAAGCCAGAAGGTCGCAGGTTCAAGTTCCGATGAGGTCATTGGATTTCTTTCAATTGACCTAATCCTTCCAGCTGCACTATGGCCCTGGGGTCGACTCAGCCTCTAACAGAAATGAGTACCAGGAATTAATTAAATAATTTTCTTGGTGAGTAGAGCGCGGCGGACGCATAGGACTCACAACCTTACCACCACCTTTGAGCCGACTGACTAGATAATGTGGAACCCTCAATGTCTCACAACCCTATGGGTCTTCATGGTCTGTTACAGGGATAGCTTTGCTTTTTTCCCCCCCCTCTTTTTTTACTTAATCCTCAGTCTTTCATTATTTGCTGTTCAAAGGGGTCGTTGTCTACAAAGACTTGATTTTGCTCGGTATTTTCTATATGTATTTACAATTGTCTACGTATTACTTAAAACCATGACTCTGAAGATGACATTGCATTTGATTCAAGGTAGTACGGTAAAGGGCTCCACAGCAAAGTCATGACTTTAATAACAAAGGTGGGCAGTAAGTGCAGTGTCTACAGCTTCATGAAAGAGGAAGGTGGAAATCTAAGCAGTCAGGGCCAGTAAAGACACATAGAAGGCAGCCTATTTAGCTATGGAGGTCTTGCAAAGGACTCTTAGCAGAATTATTAGTGTGAAGGGAAAAGTGGGTCTGTGAATTAAGAAGATTCTGAACTCTAGGGAATGATCCTTCTGACCTTACTGCCTGACAGTGGCATTTGCCAATCTGTTAAGAATAAAAGAATTCTCAGAGAAACGCCAAATACATGTACATATGAATTCTGCAGGGCAGATAGATACTTTCTCAATAGCATGTTCTACAGAAAAATCTCTTCTCTTAGTGACTACAAAATAAATGACACAGAACTGAGCATTTACCAGAGAAATAAGACACACATGCACATCTTGATTAGCAACAAGTTCAATCATACTGTCATGTGTTAGTGTCAGGTAATTCTTCAGTGCAAGATTAGTTTCATTTTCTGTAAACTACATTTCCTAACCTGCAGTGGCGAGAGCTGGCGGTTCCTTGCGCTGTTTACTCTTGCTGGACTTTGAACCTTGGTCCTTTGTGATACCATCTGACTGGGACTTGTCTGCTGCACTGACCTGGGTACCTGACAATCAAGTTCCTTTATTCATTTACCGCATCAATTTTATCCATCCCTATGAAGAACTTTACTTCCCTGCATATCATTTAACGATTAACAAAGCCATATGGATCATTGTTTCTGTGGCATACAAATACCAGATGTTACTAAACACAAAGTCAAGAGAGGACCAATTACTTATTACAAGTTATGACACGAAAAATGACTTCATGGTTAAATGATTCCGAGGGTTAACAAGCAGCATTTTCAAGCTAGATGCTGGCTTGCATCCTATGTACATAACATGCTTACTCACTGTAGTTTCAGAGAATATAAGATGAAAGGGGTTAGAATAAAGTAACTGTCACATATAGTTAGAAGAAAAGCAGAAAAAACATGCAGGAGCAAAGCTTCACTGTTATTTCCAGTACATTCAAAGTCAGAAGACCTTGGTAACTTACTGTTAACAATGCACTACAAAAGCACAGAATTCTATACAAGAAAACTGACAGTGTACTCTTCATATGACAGCATCATTAAATAATAAACTTAAAAACATAACTCAGTCAAGTAAAAATTAAGCTATTTAAAGGAAATATTGTGGAACTTTCAAAGCACACATTTCAGTGTCATAAAAAGAAAATGGTTTCTTGCGCCCTGATATTCTTCAAAGGCAAGTTTGCCAAAGAGATATGGGGAAGGGTGAAGGGGAGAAAAAGGAGAGAGAGGACAGAGGGAGAGATGAATGATGCCAATCTATTTGTTTTCTTGTAGTCTGTTTCAATTACATAACCAATACATGTAATTCCATATGTTTCAGTTCACTTCAGACTGAAAATAATCTAAGAGTAATTGCTTTTTACATCATCTCCTCTCACAACTTGCCCACCCAACCGAGCTAGACCACTGCGCCTTCTGGCACCAGTACTCAAGGGTGAGCTACTGTAGTCACATCATGTTACTATACTTAGATGTGAGCAAATACAATATGTAGTACATATAAATGCAGTCAAGATATTTATTAAAATGAACATTATTGGGAGAATAAATTGATCTTTAACATATTTCATATTTATTTGATATTAATGAATTTATGGAACATTTATATAAGGAAAATTAATCTCCCAGCTATTATGTAGAATGACGTCTTCCCTCAAGTGAGATTCCACTCCTGAACATTTATATTATTGCTAAGGGGGGGCCTGTGGTAGCGTATTTGGTTGAGGGGCTATGCTGCAAGCTGGAAGGTCATGGGTTCAAGTCCCGATGAGGTCATTGGATTATCTTCAATTGACCTAATCCTTCCAACCGCACTATGGTCCTGGGGTCAACTCAGCCTCTAACAGAAAAGAGTACCAGAAATTAATTAAATAATTTTCCTGGGGAGTAAAGCACAGCCGGTGAGTATGGCTGACAACGTTACCGCCATCTTTGAGCCGACTGTCTAGATAATGTGGGACCCTCAACGTCTCACAACCCTATGGGCCTTCACGGCCTGGTAGAGGGATAGCTTTACTTTTTTTACTTTTACTGCTAGTGGGGAGGGACTAAGTCCCTTGTACTGCGGCCACTTCTGGCCTATTGTACCAGCCCCAGATGATAGGTGAGGGTGATTGTGAAGCAATTGGTGGAATGAAGATTGGCAGGGGAAACAGAAGTACTTGGAGAAAACCTGCCCCAGGGCCACTTTGCCCACCACAAATCCCACTCAACCAGACCCGGGATTGGGAAGCCAGCGACTAACCCCTTGAGCTATGGCACGGCCACTCCTGAACATTAGATGTTAAACATGGCTTCAATAAATATCACAACACCCACTGCTGATCCTCAGATTTGTATAGTTGTGTCAAAATTAGCATAAACTGCTAAAGCATAGATTGAGGAAAGATGAGGAATATACTATGACACATGCTAGAATATTCCATACACCAGAGAAAAGCAGACCACCTGTCAACAACAGAAATTTATTTTTTGTGAAAGTACAACTTAGATTCTTCTGTTGGGAATTCAGATGGCAACGGCATGCCATTCCTTGGTAGGTTATGTCACTGTCCTTACACGGTCAATGACAGCATGCAAAACATATTCCTCAAAAACAGTAATCCTGGCATATCCTATACACAAAAAGTTTTGTTAACTTTATTTGTGAAAAATAGTGTTATGTTTAGAACCAATGAAGATAAATGATAAAGGCATCTACAGAGAACATATGTATATATTAATTTCACTTGTCACAACAAGAGAAGAGGAGTTATTGGCTCAAATACCAAAAGATGCTTCCCAGTATTCACTGTGTCACTTCTGTAACTGATGTGACTTCATTTCACCTGTGATGTGAGGTGGCCAAGCTGCTGTCAGCTGCCGCAGTCGCTCCCACAGAGGCCCCATCCGGTTGCCATGACAATGTTCGGTACACATGTACCCATCAATCAGCTGCGCACAAAGTGCACTCAGCTGCTCCCCATGCTGTTAGTGACACAAATACACAAGCAAACCCTTCATCACAATCATGGCACATGAAGGATGAATGAATGGATGTAAAGAATGGGGAACTATCCATATGACAAAAGATCTGCACAGGTCACATATTATGCAGTTGTCAGATTTTTATTAGTTGGATAGCATAACCTTAATATGATTTCAATGTGCATTGATTTCTGGGCTCTCATGTTTTTCACTGCAAAAATATCCTCATATACTTTTATTAATCCATGCACTTTTTTTGTTCAATTTGTATTCATCTTCTAATAATTTTCAAGCCACTGCACCTGAATTTTAATTCATATTAAAACTCCATATAAATGTGCAAAATTATAAAAATAAGTAAATGCACTTAGGGGGAAAGAAAGCAGTACCTCTTAATTACATTTCTGGAAGACAAAGGTGCCTATGCACAACTTCAAAAAGTTTAGGCATGACATGAAAGTAAAGCTCCCTAAGTTCTAAACTTCTGCACAGATATTAGCGAGTGATCAGTTTTATGTCTGACGCTTTGCGCCTCGGTGACAAAGATCCAAGTGTCCATCGAATGGGGGACTGGGCAGGATCCAGAAACAGTCTGTACATGGTAATGAAGACTAGAATTCATGTTCATCTGGGAAAAATTTAATTCCAGCTGTCCAGCCCACAGCCAGATGCTTAATCAATTTATGTATCCTGGCTACTGATTACATCTTTTGTCATGATATTTATAGTTCATATTATACTTACAGAACAAATTTTGTTTTGTATATGTGTCAATGTCAATGGTACTGTAATTTATTCCATGCACTGCTACCATCAATTAGCAGGATTCAATTTTAAGCAGGTACTGATATAAATTTCAATGGTGAAGCAAACAAGGAACTATAAGTTAATAACTTCAAATTTTTGTGATCCATTTCTGCACATAACTTCCACTACTACAGATTCTGACCTTGTTATATAATGGATTGGTCCAATATAAACTCTACTTACATGGAACTCGCGTAAAATTACCAGCAGTTCTACCAAAAACAACTTATGAAACAAAAGACCATGTCCATGCAATGGGAAAAACAAAGCAAGAAATGCAGGGATTTGCTCACAGTTTTGGTGGTATCAAGCTGGTGTTGAAGGTGACTTATTTCCTCACACTTCTGTTCCAGTTCATGTTCACGTTGGCACAGCAGCTGTGCAGCATTACCTTCTGAGCCTGCTTCTAACTCACTCACTTCTGATACCAAATGTGCACGCAACTGCTTATTTCTGAAACAAAGCATGGCAACATTAATACTGGCTAAAGGCAATACGTAAGGAATAAACAAAAAACATGTGGAGCCATACATAAAGATTCAACCTTTTATCTTGTTTAGTGAAATGACAACAACCATGCTCATGGCACAGCTGATAGTTATTCAGTGTTAAGGCATTCACTAAATGAATGGTTAGTGTACTGGTAACTCTACAGTCTTATAAGTGGAAGGTACTAAAGTTGAGTCTTAGCCAGGTTACTAGCTATTGTATTCCAGTTGAGGTTAATCACGGTTTTCCTGGTTTGTCCATGCAAATTTTGAGACTATACAGGGAATGAGTGCTTCCTTTCAAATTTCTGATTATTCACCATTCATGGTATTCTTTCCATCTCACTGAATGCTATATATACCCACACACCTGCAACAGTTACATAAAATAACCTAATCCATGAACTTTCTATTATAAAGACTGGAAGTGGATAATTATGTTCACAAGAAGCAAAAACACTATAACAGTCCTGTGACAGTTTAATCCAAGTTACCATTGTACAAATCTTCATATAGCCTACAGGTTCTCTAAGACCTACTTTAATTTTATTCTCCTATCTATGTCTAGGTCTCCCAAGGGATCTCTTCACTTGAAATTTTTGAACTACAACTCTGTAAGCATTTCCTACTTACAACATGCACGATAATGCCCCCTCCAATCTTATCAATTCTGTAACCTATTAAATAAAATATCTCTACAGTGTTGACTGACCCAGTTTCAGAGAAGTTAGTTATTTAAGTTAAGAGAACTTAACTCTTAATCAGAAGACAAAAAAAAAAAATTAGATGGCATTTCATAGTAAGACTACTCAGTAAAACCTGTCATCACAATATCTGCTACAGAAGCAGTCTTCAACATTATGACACACTACTAAGTTGTCGGTCTGAGTGATGAAGAAAACAGTACATTTACCTAGCATCCAATTGTTGAATGTGTTGTTGTGCTTGTGTAAGCTGTTTCATTATCACTCCCACTTGTTCTTCTAAGGCTGCTGACTCCACACATTTTACAGAGTATCTTTCTGACAGAGAGAGAATCTCCTGTTTGATTTCTTCCATTTCAGCTCTGCAAATACATGAAAATAATAAAGTACCTAGTTTTGATGTTAAGTCAGAGTTGTACAAGGAATATTAGAAATTACAGAACAATATGTGAGATATGAAGTTGATTATGAGACTATTTAAAGCCTCCCATTCGAGAAAAATTATTGCAACACTAATTTTTCAAGTTTAAGGTCTTTCATTCTGGTCCGTCACACTAACCAATTAACAATCAAGTTCCTTCCGTCAAATGTGACACTTTTTTAAGTTTTCCACCTCGTCAGCACCTGCCTTACGTGTTTCGGCTCACCACGGAGCCATCATCAGAGGCATTTATAGTAGAAAAAGAAATCACCAACACACAAAACTTCACTTTGTCCAAGATAGCCACGTTCCAGTTAATTAAAATAATTACAAATAGTTAAAATTACCCAGAATGTCGATTCACTAAAAGTTTTTCACACACCACAGTAGCTTCCTTATTTGATTCGTCGTTAATTCTGTAAAATTATGTTTCGTTATTTGAAGTAAGAATTCTTAAAATCCCTAGAATTCTTTCCCGCTTGGCCCAATCTTTTTGCTTCGGGATGTTNTATTTTAATTAACTGGAACGTGGCTATCTTGGACAAAGTGAAGTTTTGTGTGTTGGTGATTTCTTTTTCTACTATAAATGCCTCTGATGATGGCTCCGTGGTGAGCCGAAACATGTAAGGCAGGTGCTGACGAGGTGGAAAACTTAAAAAAGTGTCACATTTGACGGAAGGAACTTGATTGTTAACTAATTTTTCAGTCTCAAATTTCAAAAAATTTCAGATAACTGCCTTTACCTTGTTCAATAGCATGCATAAATCAATGTCAACAGAACCTGTCTTGAATATAACACACGGTGAGAAGCATATGGTCAGAGAATTCTTTTTTTTTTTTAATAAAACGAATTACGAAAAATTTTCACTGAGAAAGGATTCAAAAAGTGACTAGCTTCATAGATTGCAATTACAGTGAAAATACGGCTGCAAAGATACTGTACATATTTTCTCATACACGATTGACCCTGACTACATTACACTGGAAACAAAATTACTTGCTGCTTGTAGACCATCAGTGGTTACTGAACAGGAACAACAATGAAATTCATCTGATTGGTAGAACCTGTTTCTATAAAACTCACATTTTGTGTTTTGGCCCTTAGTGTGCATACTATTATATTCCTTAAGATATTACCTATGCAGTTTTATTTACAGAGCTGGCCTCCATTTATTATTGGAATTTCATCAAAACTGTTACAGCCATTTTCAAGAAACTCGCCATTTTGTGTTCTGGGGCCCACATGAAGGGTCCCTAATTTTGGAACCACAATGTTCAGATTCAACAGGCACAAAGAGCAGATGGAGAATTCCTAAGTATGAATAAACTCTATACAACCTTTCAGACACAAGCAACATACAATACATATAGATGGCATATCAAGAGACTTTTTCTTTTGCATTCAGTGGGGCTTAAAACGTCTAACTCTTGTCAAAATCTCATGATCAGTTTTCATCATCATAACAATTACTTCCCATATATACTGTGTATATAAGAAAGTAGGCTGGCCTAATAGAGAAAATTCTCATTCTTATTTAAAATTTCAGAGTCATTTTCAAATTCCAGTCTCAAGCTGAAGAGGTCATTCACACATGCACAGACAGAACACATTCTCTGATGTTCATCATTTGATGCACCTCTCTAGAAAATCTGTCAGATTTTAAGAGAGAAGGTAGTTTGGTTAACATTAAACTTATCTATGTTCAATATTAGCCATACAATAACCAAACTGTTTCAAATTCACTTTATATGCTCATCTATCTGTGTGGGTTTCTCGTATTCACTTCAAGTATGAATTAGCCCACTGGCATATTATTCAAGCTTTGTCTATTTAAAATACCCACACAAAATCATTACACAAGTTTTTCTTTCAGCAAAATGTATTTGTTGTCTGAAACATAAACTATTTAAAACTGAAAAGTCCTTCTTTCTGAAATGTTACACCTAGTATTCTGGTAGAAGTTTATAGATATTCCTCCAAAACATCACTAAACTTCCACTAGACTATACAGTACCACATGCCAGAAAGTACAAGTAGTATGCTCCATAGTTAGTACCATAAGAAATGTATCTCTCTCATAATTGCAGTTTCATTGTGCAATGTTTCACAGTTGTTACACCTAACATCACCCAACAGGGCTGACATCCTGCAGTCACCAAATACTTTAATGGATTGGTTAGGAAGACATGACTTTACCAACTGAATGATACTTTCTCAACATTAAAATCTGTATTTTACATGCACACTGTAACTATGAAATATCAAATATTGTGGAAAAAATATCCAAGATGCATTAGTAAATATAACAGAGTATGTAAATTAGTAAAACTGAAACACAATAAAATTCATTACACTACCAGATACAACAGGAAAGTTACTGAACAAACAACGCACTATCCAGCTCCACTACACCTGATTTCACAGAAATCTGATCTGAAAGAAATCTTACAATCCCATCTAACAGTTGATATATTACACTTACTCATGCTCCTTGTGGACAGCACCAATGTCATGAGTGGACTGCATCTTTTTGATGAATTCTGACTTGAATTTCGCAATCTCTTTCTGCACTTCAGTCTCATGAGCTTTCCTCATGGCATCCAGTGCTGTGGACAATATAAATACATCAGACATCTTCAAAGTACCATGAAAAACCTAATCTTAAATATGAGAACACACCGCAACTTTCTGATAGTACTTGAATTCCATTCTCCACCTTGTCCCATCACCCATTTTCCTTGGGTTTCAACAGTAAATTCTCCAACAAACTGAAAAAATAATGGAAATTAAGCATTTCCTTATGTTGTTCCATTAAGGAGTAAACTATATGAACTTCTATGCATATATTGGTCTACATTCAGTTAGTCTGCCATGAGTCATTTACAAGTAATTACCAGATCAATTTAAGTTGCACAAATTAAATATTTATTCCAGTTCAATTTTCCAATTTTAACTGCAATTTTAAAATTTGGGCCTGGGACTAACAGTTTGTCAGTAAAAATTATTTACAAGTAATTACCAGATCAATTTAAGTTGCACAAATTAAATATTTATTCCAGTTCAATTTTCCAATTTTAACTGCAATTTTAAAATTTGGGCCTGGGACTAACAGTTTGTCAGTAAAAATTATTTACAAGTAATTACCAGATCAATTTAAGTTGCACAAATTAAATATTTATTCCAGTTCAATTTTCCAATTTTAACTGCAATTTTAAAATTTGGGCCTGGGACTAACAGTTTGTCAGTAAAAATTTCAGTCTTTCCAAATTCAAAACAATATTGGAATGTAAGGAGTTGGACACATCACATGAAGCCTCTTCTACTACTAGTCTCATCTCCATTTTCACAGAAACTACAATGTCCAAATCATGATATTATAACAATTACATCTCTAATGCAAGAAATGCCATTACCTTCCATAAGACCAGTTCTTGATAATACAACTACTATGTCTGGTAGAAAATAAATACCACTACAACTAAAGAATAAGCTAATTTAATTTTATATTTGGTATATGTTTCAAATTGTTTGATGGGTTACCAAATACAAATAATCAAAGTGGCTTAGTAAACCATAAATCCAGCGGCCTCCCTAGTCTAGAGGTAACGTTCCCACCTCATGACTCGTGGTACATGGGTTCAAAAACCCGGCGGAGGTCGTGGAATTTTTAAGGGCAGAAAAATTCAGGGAACAAGTCCTCCAGGAGGGACTTTAAGCCGTGGGTCCCGTGTCATAGCTTTACGGCACGTAAAAGAACCTTATATCTCCAAAGGAGGTCACTGAGCCAAATTCAGGACATTTCCCGCCCAACAGTAGTCTCTAACACCTCCGATAGATGGGGAAAGCATTATAGATACTGCCAAGCCAGTAGAGGCGAACTCGCTGGCTCGGTCAGGACTGATGGCACGCACCAATATCGGTAGGGTATAGAGACTGGTAGAATATCATAGAGGGAAGCACAATGGACCAATACTGGTCTAAGTGCACAGGGAAACCCACCCTCTCTAACAACTAACTAACTAAACCATAAATCCAGCCATCAGCCTTGTTCACACGTTGCATACCCATGTTCTGGTCATATTCCATTTCCTTTTGAGGGGACTAACACTCCAAATCAAAGTGCTTATATGCATGATTAATAACATATCAATTTTTAAAAAACCTTAAAAATGAACAAACATCAATGAAGTGAACACGTAACATTTTCTCCTTCCTGCTCTTATTTTCACCTGCTAATGTAGCCTGTGTTTCCTCAGCCAGGGCTTGCTCTTTCTCATGCCGCAACTGTTCTATTTCTTGGCGATGTTTCTCCTCCAACTCCGCTATGATGCGGCGATGAGAGTTCTCCATGGCAACCAGGCCCTTTTCACATAAAGCCTACAGCACCAAGAAAATTTTAAATTCAAAAGGCATAGTAAAATAAAACCCTAATTTAAGAACTTTCTTTTCATTTTAAATTAATTTCTGACAAATTCCCTTTATAGCCAGTGTAGTTTCGCTCTCAAAAACAATTAATGTAACCTTAAGTTTGGTTATGTGTGTTCATTATTAATGAAATAATGTATCATGCCACACAGCTTTTCAGAGACCAAATATTGTACCCACTATTATCTCCTAATTCTTTAAAATAATATAAATGTTGATGTAAATAAAATGTATTTCTTTATTTAAAATTACAGATCTTGGAAAAGATTCTGTTTCCTGAAGAAATATACAAAAGCTGACATTAAGATACAACAGCATGAAAAACAAAATTTGTTTAGCAGACAATGGACTTGAGGAATGAGAGGAAAAGAAGACTGCATTGAAGTACATGTTTCACCAGGGTATAAAACCTGTAATATGTTTCCTGTACAGAAAGACGTGAGAATTGTGTGGAATACTTCACAAGTATTGTCATAATTATTAAAAATTTTACCTTCTTAAAGAATATTAAATATGTCACCAATCTGTGATTCATAATTTGTGAAGCATGTAAGTGATCAGTGTTCTGCATTTACTACTTGCTGAACACTACACCTACCACACAATCCACTTCTCATTTTAAAAAGCATATGTATATCACTTACATAATTCATAACTATTTTTCTCATGAATTCATAGTGCATTAACATGATGAGTTTGGAATTGTAATTTCTAGCACTTTCCTCTTTTATCTGAAGCAAGAAACATGTTGCACAGCCTTTTCCATCTGCTGGAATTACATGTGTTTTAATGGAGCTGAAAACATTCCCGCTCAAAAGAACTTGGGTATGTTGCACTACTCATAGATAGGCTGTCCACACACATATTCAAGAAGCCAATAAACAAGCCCTCTAATTATCTGGTAACAAATTCCAAATGTTCAACAACCCTAATAACAGAAACCCACAATTGAATTTAATGTCACAACTTAGTTTGTAAGTTTGAGTACTCTCCAAAATCCTTCCTGGTCTTTTGAGTGCCATCTTCTAAGAGAATTACTTGCCAAATTTGTATACTCACACTTTACATACCACTCGTACATCTGTAGAATGTGAGCCCCTGAATTTAATAATTTGATATTTCAAGGAAGGTTTCAAACAAAACATGTGAACTATATGACCACTTCACAAGTATCACAATATTATTATTGCACCCCTGACCCATTTAGATGACAATAAATGCCTAGCCAACCAGAGAATTAAAATCTGCCAAACTCTGCTACTCAACCTACAGCACCCCTCCATTAAGTACAGTGATAGAATTGCTTACTCGAAGTTGCTCAATTTCAGCCTGATACCGCTGCCGAATATTTTCTTCTCCTTCAACATCACGTTCTAACCCAGCTGAAAGCGTCTTTTGGTATGCAGATCTAAGGTTTTCAACCTGCTGAGCATATTCTGAATCCAGAGTACCCAGCCGACGTTCCAGACGACGAGCTCTTTCCTTTAACTGTGCTTGTTCTTGTTCATGTTGACATACCTTTTTAACAACAAAAGATTTATTATGTAGTCACAGTATTGTTGTGGTGACAGTTTAACATAACTACTATATGTATGTTTGGAACACACAACAGGATGCACACTATGAAGATAATGTTATATATCACATTGACTAGTCATCACAACCTACAGTTATACATCATAGAAAGTGTTCATCACATTTAACACATTGTGGACCGGTGATTTAAATATTTAAATCACCCTGGGGCAGCCATTATTATACCTACTATCCTAACTTGTGCACTGTTTACTTTAAAAATTAATATAAAATCTCCTAATTAATTTTATGAACTAAAATTTTTGGAGAACACTTACCAATGCTCCTAGAAGTGTTTGAGGGTGTGATATTTCTGGAAACATTCCCCTTTGTGAAGTGGCATTACACAAAACTTGCAAATGTAGACATACTCCTTTTTTTGTGAACTGTGCGAACATGGCATTGCCTAGAAGGGTGCTTCGCCTTGGAATGTTCACACTTCACAATTTTCACGAAGGTATGTTTCCACATATCACCCGAGAGTCGCCCTGGGGGGTCCACATGAGGCCTGCGTGGGGTGGGAGTTGACAGGCCCGGTCGCACTAAGTCTGTGTCTGACTCTGGTTCTGCCACCACCATCTGGTCTGTAGCCCAGGCCTTTGCCACATTCATCAGAAATGCTTTGTGTTTCAATTTCGAATCAGGGTTTAGATTTTTGTGATTTTTTTTAGATTTTTTACTGTCCCCACAATGTTATTACCCCCATTATCATCGGAGCTACTGTCACTTTTACTGTCTGTGGCCACAATTCTTTGTTCTCCCCTGTCACTGCCATTCTCTGAATCACCATGACTACACATCTCACAAGGCAGGCCAGCTAGCTCATCGGAGAAGAATTTGTCCTTGTCCATACCTCACCACTGACTACTGGCTGATACATACAGCTCGAAGAGCAGCAAAGAATTTTCATTTATAGTGGGTTAAGAACAGAGTGAGGTCAAGTTACTGACAAGTAAACAAATATTCCAGAGTTTTATTATGCCACTGCGTGCAACTTGGGTGGCGCCAGAGCAAGGTATAGTGTGTTACAACCTAATGTGTCCTAAAATCATGATATCATGAGACAGGTCCACCACATTAAAAACCAAAAGCATGATACCATGTGACCAGTCCTCAATGTGTTAAAACTGTCACGAAAAGGTACTAAAGTGACAACAGTGACTCTCAACAATACAGCTACTCTCTATCTACAAATTAACTCACCAGTGACTGCCTCTGCTGTTCCAGCTCACCACGTAATTGAGCCATTTCTCGCTCCTGGCATCGCTGCAATGCTTGGAGCTCTTGTTCATGTTCCGAAGCCAACCTATGGCAGAACAAACCTCCATTAAAAGATACATATGTTATACTTCTTGAACACCAAAAATTATACCGGTCTGAAATTCAAGCTGAAAAGCAATAATATTTGTCATTATGATTCAATGATACCCAGAAGCACCTTCTAGATATACGAGGGTAATTCCAAAAGTAAGGTCTCCTATGTTTGAAAATATAAAATAAACATTTATTTTCAATTTTGGATACATCAGTTGAATCTTGAACATGTACTCATTTCTATATATAATCGCCATTTCGGTCGATGCATTTTTGTAGGCGCAGTGGCAGTTTTTGTATGCCCATGTCATACCAGTTCACCTCCATGCTGTTCAGGAAACTTCGAACCTCAGCTTTCACCTCATCGTCGTTGTTGAAGCGCTTTCCAGACAAATGTTCTTTCAACTTTGGAAAGAGATGGTAGTCACTGGGCGCCAAGTCCAGACTGTAGGGTGGATGGGTGATGATGTTCCATCCAAACTGTTGCAGTTGAGCGACAGTTTGTCGGGCAGCATGGGGGCGAGCGTTATCATGGAGAATGCTTACGCCCTTGCTCAACATCCCTCTTCTCCGGTTCTGAATCGCCCGCCTGAGTTTTCTCAGTGTCTCACAATATCTCTCAGCGTTTATTGTGGTCCCAGTTTCCATAAAGTCAACCAACAATACCCCGTTTCGATCCCAAAACACAGTTGCCATGACTTTACCGGCAGACTGTGTTTGCTTGAATTTTCGAGGCTTAGGCGAAGAGGAATGCCGCCACTGACGTGATTGTTGTTTTGTCTCAGGTGTGAAGTGGTACGCCCAGGTTTCGTCACCTGTGACAATTGAATTCAAGAAGTTGTCCTTTTCGTCAGCATAGCGGCGAAGAAATTCACGGGAAGAGTCAACTCTCTGCCGTTTGTGGTCTTCCGTGAGCATTCGCGGGACCCATCTTGCGCACACCTTCCGATAATTCAACTTCTCTGTCAAAACCCGATAAATGGTGGTTCGGGAAACCTCGGGAACCGAAATGCAGAGATCATCGAGTGTGATGCGCCTATCCTGACGCATGACTCGCTCAATCTTCGCGACTGTCTCGTCAGAAATTGACGGTCTCCCAGTTCTTTTTTCGTCGTGTATTGCAGTACGACCAGATTGAAACTCCCTACACCACTTGCGGACGTTCTTTATGTCCATGCACGACTCGCCATACACTTCCACCAACCGACGATGAATTTCAATTGGTTTAGTCCCTTTTGCGTTCAAAAACCGAATAACTGCGCGAATCTCACACTTCGCGGTTTTAGTAATCGGGAGCTCCATTTCTAACGGCAACCGTGCCAAGACTGAGCGTCCTAGCTACGTGCGCGCATGCTTGGTGGTATTGGGGGGAGTGGGGGAAGCAACGAATGCAACAGGGTTGCCAACAGCCGCACGAAAAATTACCCAGCGCTTTGGAGACCTTACTTTTGGAATCAGCATTTGAATTTCAGTACAATGTGTTATTGGATGGAATCATATAAGAAAAGAAAAACATGGGGAAATCATATAGTTTCTGGCAGGTATAAAATGTAATGTACATAGCTGCAATCTCTTGAAACCTTCAGCTAATGTAAGAATTTGGCAACATTTAAAAAAAAAGCCTCATTAAGCTAGAGTCATGGGAGTAGCAATGGGACTCACCTAAAGGAAAAGTCTGTATTGATTACTGTAATAAAAGCAAGCAGAAAACGAGACTGGTCAAATACAATACATTTCATCAAATGTGCAAAGAATAACATCCAACTGTTCAAAGCAACACTATTTAGAAAAAGATCTGGCTACACACTGCAATTCTCCAGATGAATGAAGATTTGCAAAAGAGATCCAAAAGTCAGTGACATAATTATAATGTTATATTTTAGTGTCCTGTTGCACTGATTTAAGTCCATGATTTATTTCAACCGTCTTCCAGTGCATACACTCATCTATCTCACTCCTCTCTCTCGCACTACATGTTTCGGCACAAAAGTGCCATCTTCAGGTGCTTATTCAATTTACAATAAACTAGTTCATTGCATGCCTTGCTGTCTTTAAATTAAAATAACTAAAATATATATTGATAAATATTAAATATTAAAAATATTAAAATTGTTCAGGACAAACCAGGAGGAAATTTAATACCAGATATAAAGAACACATACATGACATAAGACACAATAACAGCAGTACAGGATACTCAGAACACATATTAAACACAGGACATGCATATGGTACTATAGAAAACACTATGGATATCACAGCAACAGGTAAGAAGGGGCAATACTTGCACACATTGGAGAACTATCATATATATAGAACGACAAAGAAAAACACACATATGAATAATATAAATAAAGAAATATATAACCCAATATACCACGAATTAAATACTATCTACACAGAACATAACAACACCCCACCACCTACCCCCACCACATCTACGCCCACAACATCATAACTCAATCAAAACGAAGACAGCACACACACACATACCCAGCAGGCCCAGCAGTATAACACATGCAGTCACAGGAGCAAGACACAACAGGAGCAAGACACAACAGGAGCAAGACACAACACAAAGCACAGTGAGTATTAAAAATTATAATACCACAAGTAATAAATAAAATACGGAACGCAGTATTAATGAATAACAAATTCACGTTACAGATACACACACGAAAGTAGAAAGAGTGCTCCGACAGAAGAGGATAGGTGTGACTCGCGTAGTGAGATATGACATAGGGATGAAAAATCCTGAACAATTTTAATGTTTTTAATATTTAATATTTATCAATATATATGATAAATATATATTTTAGTTATTTTAATTTAAAGACAGCAAGGCATGCAATGAACTAGTTTATCGTAAATCGAATAAGCACCTGAAGATGGCACTTTTGTGCCGAAACATGTAGTGCGAGAGAGAGGAGTGAGATAGATGAGTGTATGCACTGGAAGACGGTTGAAATAAATCATGGACATAATTATTGCTAAAATTTATGGATATACCATTCTGTTTCTATTTTTATTATGAAACCATCCATGTTTCTATCTGGCTACTACAATACTTAAGCTGTAAAACAATGACATATTTGTAGATGAAATATATGACAGGAATTACAAAAATTCGCTTACACTGGAAAGCTGACATCATCTTATTAATGAAGCAGCAGAGATACAATTCATATGCTGAGTTACCTTCACTACATCACATTCAGAACATATCACGCATACACTAAACATAATTCTCCTATTAACTATAAATTCACTGAGCAGGCATACTATTTCACTGACAACTTACAGTAAGAATAATGTGCATCCATATGTAGAGTGGCTGTTGAAATTTTAATGGAGGGTGTATATATATATATAGGTAGCATGTGCACGTACACAAACATAGAACAAGCAACAAATAATTCAATTGCCTGTGAATATGTAAGAAATTCTCTAACTGCATATTACTTACTAAGAGTAGGAAGCAGATTAAGACAGGAAACTATAAATTTCCTTTGATTGATATCTAGCAGATACTGACATGTATTTTAAGAAAGAACCATCATTTCATAAAATATTCTGACTACCCATATAAAAACAATTTCATAGACGACCTCTAAATTTAATTAGAAATATAACAGCGCAGCAGGTTTCTGCAGTCCTAAGTGCAGCCTAAGGGCTCAGATTCCCCTTGCATGATTATACCATACATGCTCATAACTCACTTCATCACATGAGAAGTGATTACATCTCTATTCAATAATAATTTAAATTGCATAAAACTTTTTTTAATTACTGGTGTTTTATTTTACAAGTCACAATTAATTGGCCATACAAAAGTGTTTAATTAATAAAATTAATGATAATAATAATAATAATAAAATAGATACAAAATGTAATTACAGCAAGAGATGACAATGACACATTAGATATTGGTATTAAAATGTGGTATATGTGAAATAGAAACAGAAAATATAACATGCATATTCATAAATTTCACTTGCCTGAAGGAACAGAAGAGACTTATGAAGCTCAGGGCCCATGTATGCCCAAGCTTCCTACCATGTCATAGTATCTACATTTCTGACACATGTACAATGTTAACAAATGCAATTTCAAAGAAATCTGTGTTGTCAGCATAGACAGACAGAAAGGAAGAACATCATCTGATCACTCATTAACAAGAATCAAATTCTGTGTGATTTGGTATATAACACTTACCTATGCACTGTTTCCTGCAGCTGTTGACACCTGTGACAGTCTCGTCCCTGCAGGATATACCTCACAAGACTAGTTATCTGCAATCGCAGAGTGGCACACTTTGAGCACACGGCATCCCAGGAACGTACCCCGGTGTCACAGTCAGCTGTCCCTTCTTGATGTATGTTACACTTATCTAATGCCATCTGGAGCTCTTTCTGCAGGTACATAAGAGAATCCATCACACTTCTAATACATTCTTCATCACTCACAGCAGTCTCACTGTCTGTCTTCTTACTAAACACTTGCAACATATTTGAGTGGCACTTTCGAGAAAACTGTTCAAAAAGATACTGGAATTCCATTCTCATTGCAGAATCAACTCTGAATTCATCCTGCCCAGGATCTGTCAGTAACCTAGAAATAACATCACTGTCTTCAGTCTGCAGATTGGTGACCACTTCATTTGAAATGCCATTTGTAATGGAATTATCAGGTGATTCCATGGGAGGTGTTTCATTGCATATCACGGCAATACGAGCATCTACCATAGCTTTGTGAGCAGTCATATCTGCAAATTCTGATAGCAGTCTTCTTGATTCCAACATTGCTTCTTCCCCATGACTTAATGTTCTCGCTGACTTATCTTTCTTCAATTTTGATAGGCATTCCTCATAGTTTCGAGTCAGTTCATCAATACCTGATTCCATCTCTTGCCTCAGAATTCCTTCAACTGTGTCCGACCACTGTTCCAAAACAACGTGCTGTGATGCTAAGAAACTGAACATTGCTTCCTGTTCCATTGCAAGACTAGTTTCATACACCTGCCCACAGCGCATGGTAACATGTGAAATCTCAGCCTGAATTAGTTCACGGTTCACAGTTTCCTGTGCCATAGTCCATGCTTCACGGATCCTTTGGTCTTCCAGTGTTGGAGTCAGAGATTGTCCAAATCTCTGTTGCTCCACTGTTATATTTCTCCTCTGTTCATGTTCATTTGTAAGACTCAGTGTCTCAATAGCTAGAGATTGGGCCAGCTGTCCTAATATGGCTGTTCTGTAGTTTTTCATACACACTTCCAGCTCCTGCTGTTGCTTCAGCAACATCTCTGTTGCATCTGTACTACTGGGTTTCAGGCACCATCTCACTTCACTTCTCTGAGCCAGAAATCCACAGCTGGAAGCCAGATGTGTCTGTGCCATCAACCTTGCTGAAAGAACTCTGGTGAGATGCTCAAGTGATGTTTCATAGCAACTGGACTTTGCTTCTGCGGTTCCTTTCAATTTTGACTTCAGCTCAAGAATTAGGCGCCTGCACTCTATAATCTCTGAATCTAAGACTCGTTTCCTGAAGCTACTGCTACTATCCTCACAACTGGTAACAGCCTGGGCTATCCTACCAATAAGCACAGATTCATAGGCTAGTTTCTCAGCTAGAAGCTGCATACGGGCTTGACTGTCAAACCTTCCCAGCTGCACTAATTCTGCTTTTCTTGCTGCTATTTCCTTTAACTTCGTTTGCAAAAGGTTTTCAAGTTTCCTTACCACACACTTCACTGCTGCATGTCTGATGAGTTCCAATGAATTATTTGAACCATTAATGATTTCTGCCTCAGCATCATTACCTTTTCCACTACATTTTTCTAGGATATTTTTCACCTCGCCTAAACAGTTCTCAAGATACTGGAAGCTATCCAAATAAGATGGACGATTTTTTGAGGCTGGAGACTTATTAGATGCTATTACATTAAGACACTCTTGTACTTTGGCTCTTGTAATTATTAGAGCATTTTCAAGGTTTGAAAACTTTTCATCCTCCAGGCATATAGAGTCTTGTGCTGGTTCCACACTCACCTCCACATGGTGTGGCTGCTTTGGAGAGGAGAACTGCACATTTTTACTGGGCAAGACCTCCCCCTCAATATCACCTTCAACTTTCTTTCCTATCCTGTCAACTGCCTTTGCAACCTTGGATTCCAGAGAAGAGAGACGGATCAACACCTTCATTGGCTCAGAGCTGGTAGCACTATCCAGAGACTTCCGACGTATGCGGGAGGAACCTTTTGAACCTCCTTCATCACTACTTATATCTTTTCTGCTTTGAGGAGATGCACTTCTTGCATGCTTGATGGGTCTTGGTGATGCAGTCACTGCAACTGGCTGGCCCGTTTCCAAGGATGTGATTTTGGCTTCCAATTCAGCCAATTTCTCTTCAAGCTCTTTGCAAATCTGAAATGATTCACGTCCCTTCAAAGACAGGGAGCGCCGTTTTTCACGAGAATCAGATTTCAAGAGCTTTTGTTTCAGTGCTCGAACCTATTGAAAGAAAATATATTTCAGTTTTACAATATTCATATAGTGACATACTGAAGAACACAAAACAATTTAATGAATTTTTAAAATAACTATTAACCTGCTTCTCAGCGGCACTCAGCTTCAATGTAAGATCCTCCACTCTTGCGGCCATCAGAGCAGCTTGTGCATTGCTAGCATCTTCTTGGCGTTTCCCGTCCTGTCGTAGAGTGATTAGCGTCAGCTCCAGATCATCATACAGAGCATGTGATTCACGCAACTCACGCTTCATGGCACGTATCTCTGCCACAGCCTTCTCAAAGCGACCACGTAGGTCGTCATATTCTTCCACTAACCTGTACATCAATATTGGAGTAGCTGCTTATTACTTACTCATTTAACATCAATCATTTTATTAGGAAGAATAAAATTACACCTCATAAAAGCAGTAAAAATGTGAATTAGATTCATAATTACAGCCTACACAATTTTTTTTAAAGCATGTTAGAGGTTAGATGAAAATCCAGCAAACTTACATTTCTTATTCTATCATTCCACTAAGAACTAAAATAAAATAAAACAAAATACTGGAAAGCCAGTACATCATACTACATTAAATTACTGATATCAATTTTATGTCCTTTATACGTATATGTTAGTTACTGTTAGGAATTGATACATTTACATGTTACATCAAAATATTTATGAAATTCACTGAATGTCCAAATTTAATGAATGGAATGCACAGTCAAGGTTTGGGGCCTTACCTTCAAAAATATATAACCATTATACTAGGTAGTGACACTCTGAGATTACTTTCAGACAGCAGACTTATTATCTGTCTGAAGTTTAAGGATCAAGCCATGCTAAGTACCTTAAGCAACACCTTCACTTGCCTCTCTTTGTCAATCTGTGACAGGTCCAGATCAAGATCAATATTTGTTAAATCACTAAGAGAATCAACACTTCGGCCTTTCTCCCTTGATGCCGACAGACCGTTGCTGCCACCAGCAGAACTGCTACTTGCACTCCCTGCCCGCCCCTCCAACTCACGAACACGCCTGTACAATGCCTCATTTTCCTCAATGCCTCGAGCCAACTGCTCGCCAAGGGAGACTGCTTCCACTGCCTCTCGAGTCAGTGCATCACACCGACAACATGCTGCAGCAAGTGCGGACTCTGCATCAGTTAGCTTCTGCCGCCATTCTTCACTGTCTTCATGGTACCTATAAGCAAACAGCAGGATCAGCATTATTTCTTTTTATAGCAATGAGAATTACTGGGACTGTTGTTCTTTCAGTTCAACAGAACAACACATAGCCACACTCACCTGGCTTCCAGCTGATGATACAACTCCTGCCAATCCTCACCATTTGTCTGTTGTCGCCAATGAGTCAGCACTTCCTCATGCTCTCTCAGAAGCTCACCATAGCTGTAAGCATAAAGGTAATTTAAAAAGGAAATTATAAAAGAAATCTGTATTAATAAGGTTAATTAGTTTTTGTTTCAAAACAAATACTTCATAACATGAATGTGTCCAAATCACTGTGAACCTAAAATACTCTTGAATGCAGACACACACACATTCACAGACTACAGTCTGGCCATGACTAATAATCCCTGACCATGCCTGTAAGTGATGTAATAATCCAAACTTGGGTGGGAAAATACAGCACTGCTGTCAAATCTTTGTTTCAAGCCAAGATGTTGAAGGGTGCAGTTGCTAGCATAAATCATTCAGAGTCCATACAGCATGCATCATGAAACAGCACTTGCAAATGAGACACAGAGCTGGCAACATGTCTAGTCAGCATGTTACTGCTAGTCAATGCTGTTTTGAGGCTGACAGGAAGGATCACTATGTCATGATCAGGCTACAGGATGAATTTAAAAAACTGAATAAGAAATGAAAAACAGACACACTACAGACCGAAAACTTCATAAATTGTTATTATTCTGTGTTTAAATGAAGTAGGGGCATGAAAGGTTAGAGCACAAAACTGACTGACTGCATATAGATTTGTGTATGACCATTAAATCTGCAGCAAGCAAAATGACACATATTTCTCCTAACATATTAATTAATTTGTATTAAAAATGCATATATATAGCTTCATATTTTAATACATGCATAAAAATGTTAAATGGATGGGAATTTTATGAGTCAAAACACTGTGAAAGTCACATCATAAGATCTGTAGCCTACTTACAGCAATCATAATTGATCAAGCACCTTAAATCCTCCATCCAAAATTCAAAATAATATAGAACAAATGTCAATAAAAAATACAATAACTGCTTTAGTATTTAATGTAAAAACATTCATAAGAAACAGTTTGAGCCACTGCATGTAATCTGCCCAACAATGAATAATTAGAATTACAAGACTGAATATGGATGGGATCCAAAACATTCTGCTCGTTTATCATCTTCATTAAAATGTATCCAAACTGCAATAATCTTCGCTCATTTAACCGTCAGTGCCTTCATCAGATGTATGGAGCAGGCAGTCAAATTCTCAAAAGAATATGTAAGAAGAATTTAAATAGGCTCGCTGAAATTTCTATTGGCCATCATTTCATTATGATGAGAGTTATGTTTTTAGCCTAATCCTATGACTGTCAAGACCTGACACAGAACTACCCACTATACAGACCAAGGTTGCTTAGGAGTAAATGCAACTGTACACAGAAATTCACAGTACTCCCTCAAATTACCTCCAAATAACCACAAATATAGATAGCACAAAAGTCTGTTATTTTCCTTTAAACATCAATATACATAACCTGACACTATCCATGAGGTTGTATCAGAAAGTTCCTGGAAAGTTCACTGCCTCAGTGAAAGAAGATGAGAGGGGAGGCCAAGGTCACACTTCCACAAGCCTATTGCCTCAGTCTGCCACATGACAAAAGCCCCCTGTGATTTTGCTTTGTTTCCAAATGGAAAATGAACTGAAGGGACGATGTTTTGGAACAGTGTCTGACATCCAAAGGGAATCACATGTGGTACTCAATGGCATTAAGGAAAATGACGTCAATAGTGCTTTTGAAGTGAGGAAAAAAGATGATATCACTGTATACATCCCCAAGAAGACTATTTTGAAGGAGATGGCAGCCAAAGTTGAGTAATTTAAGCCTAAATTTCTTTTCTGATCTAGCCTGGGAACTTTCTGATACACCTCATATTAATGGAAATGTTATACTAAGTGATCAACATTGTACTGATCTCTTCAGCTGTGTCAGTTTTAATGCAAGTATGCTGAGCTGATATAAGTGGCTTGTATCATGAAAAGGGTCAAACTTTCCGGTCAAACGTCAAAATATAATCAACATGGTGACTGTGCTTCCATGGACAAATGTCGGACATATTATCGACAGCGTCTGTTTCGTGTTTCTGCGGTCATATTTTGATTATACGTCACTAGGTGGCACTGTAATTATACCAATGCATGCATGAATGTTTTGTCTGCCTCCTTCTGCCATCTGTTACCCCTGTTACGTCACGGCGGNGGGGGGGTTACTGAGTGTTGCATAACGATGGAAGGAGTGGGGGGTGTGTGACATCACTCGCGAGACCGCAGAGTTCACGTGATCCCTACTTCCTGTTGCACCATCCACATCACAAAACTATAGAAACGCTGAGCTGTCGCAAGAATTGAACAATCAAAAATGTAAGTACACATTTGGCTTTATAACTTTATCCCCTTTTTGCACCGATTTTTTAGGCAAAACGGTTCACTTAGTGGCTCGGCAGGCATTTAAAAACCCCTGATGACCTGGCTGCAGAAATTTTTCAAAATATGAAGACTGGATAGGGTTAAAACAAATATGTAAATTAAAATGAATATCTTAATAAGTAACTATGATACATTTCTGCCAGAAAATGTAATTTTGAATACAGTACATGCTGATATGCTTGGTGATGTGTTCTAATGATCACCTTTATTAGATTTAAAGAACAATAGTTTCAATTTTAAAAACCAAATATGTCACAAGTAATGAAAGTACATGGCACAGAATGTGGATTCCAATTTAAATTTTCAGCAAATATACGTATTACTGTTCAAGCAGTTCAGTCTGAATAACTACATTCTAGAGCACTGCTTACCTTTTCTTCAAAGCCTCTGCTTCAGCTGCTTCTTTGGTTTTCTGCCGAAGCTCATCTTCAGCACGTTCCAATGCCTTAAGCAAATCCTGCAACTAAATCAGAAGACTAACTAGCATCATAAATTGGCATATGCACACTATAATTTAATGAATGTTCTTTGCATTTGGCACAAGAAGTGATGCCATATTGGGAAACCTGTGGCTGTTCATGTTTCAGCTTTGCAACAGCATTAAAACAAATTACACAAAATTTTGGTACAGGATATCTGTACCAAAAGTTATCAAGAAAAGTTTACTCTAATATGTAATGGTTCATTAGAACTCCTATTCTCCACAAGGACATAATTTAATTTTCTCTCTAATTTCATTGACAGTTTTCTGTAGACCTAAACAAGAAACATTTCTGTGTCCTCTGATGCAAATTTTGGTTTTTCTGAATGAATGAGACTTGAATGTTTATCCTACATCTAGAACAAATAGATTTACATATACATTGATATACATTCTGAAGCTTTGGTTGGGACCACAAGAAATAAACACAAACTGAGGGAATCTCTTAAATCAGGACTCTTACTGTAAGCCTGGATGACAACTGAATGGCTTACTTATAACTGGAAAGAATATGCATGTCATACTAACATACCAGGTTCATTAACCAGTCAAGTGGTTATGACAATTATAGATGCCATGTGGTACCGTGTATTGTAGTGGCCATGACATCTATAGACATCATGCATGTTTCTAACTACTCCATTGTAGGTATAATGCCAGTCAACAATGGAAACTTGTACATTATGCTTGTAAGATGTTCTAGCTACTTCAGAGTGTGACAGGAAGTTGTTGATTGCTTGATAGCTGTCCTGGGTTCAAGTTCTTTTGACTAAATATTATCGCAGGTCCTAGCAAGAAGATGTGTGTAACTGATGAGGAGGTGTTCTATGAACTGTTACAAGAGAATATATACAGTGGTATTTCAGAGGGTGAATATAATAGTGATAGTGAAATAAACCCGAAAATTTCGTCAGGTGGTGAACAAAGTGTCAGCTCTGATGAAGCAGAAAATGTCAGCAACAACAGTAGCATGCAATCCGACATATGGGCAAATTCAGATGTTGAGTGACCACATTTTCCATTTAATGGCAAGCCTGGCATAAATGTTGATTTAGAAGACCCAAGTAACCCCATGGAATTTTCTGAGTTGTTTGTACACCAGACATTACTGAAGTAATAGCAAGAGAAACAAATCAGTATGCCCAAAATTTTTTTGAAAACACGCCTAATCTGAAACTAGAATCTAGGACCCACTGTTGGGCTGGTATTGAAAATTATATAATTATAAAGTATACACAGTATCTGCCACTTAAGTTGCAGCAATGTTTCCAGTGGTATAAACGTTTCAGTGACGATTTCATAGTCTGCAAAAGATAAGGATTTTACAGTGATTTTTGGAAGAACAGTTCATTCATCCATACTAGCCTTGAGCTTGCAAAGGAAGTACAATTTTTTAGCCTACATGGCAGTAAGAAACTCTGTTTATCAATGAGGCGTACAAAGTATTGCTAGACAGATTTGTCAGCTGACTATTATGATTGTGTTTATTTCTAAAAAACAACAGATACCACTGATGAACCTGTATATTGAATGTGCACGACTCAGGCATATGTGTGAGATCACACAGTCCGAATGAAAATAAAAGTTGGTGGCAACAGTGGTGGATTTTTTAAGAGTAAAGCCAGAAGTACAGACTTTTACTAAAATATATATAAACTTTAATACGAGGGTTGTACTGAAAGTCATGAGCAACAATTTTTTTTGTAAAGTAACATGCTTTATTATTGACAAACCAAATACACCACCTCAATCTACAGACTTTTCTTTATTTTTCCACATAATTGCCACTTCTTTGTATACATTTCTCCCGGCGTTCTGGGAGTTTGAAAATTCCCCTCCTGTAAAATTCCATTGCAGCCATCCAAAGACACTGATGCACTGCTTTCTGAATTGCCTCCCTTGTCTCAAAATGTTGTCCACACAGCTGATCCTTCACAAATCCGAAAAGATGGTAGTCAGAGGGTGCCAGAGCAGGGCTATAGGAGGGGTGTGGAAGAACTTCCCACCCCATCTTTGCAATTGCTACCAATGTGGGGCGAGCGGCATGGAGGCAAGATGTCATGCAGGATGATGATGTTTCATCTCGGACGTTTATCACGCAATGCCCGATGGAGCTTGTGCAGCGTCTGGACAAAACGAGCAGCACTGATGGTTTGCCCAGGTTCTAGGAATTCAGCCAGAATAAACCCCTCTGCATCCCAGAAGACTGTGTCCATCACCTTGACAGCTGATGGCACTGTCTTTGCCTTCTTTTTTGATGGAGAATGCAAATGGTGCCATTCCATACTCTGCTGTTTCATTTCAGGCTCGAAATTGTGAAACCAGCTTTCGTCACCTGTCACAATACAGAGCAAAAAATCATCATCTTCGTGTCGATATCTCTGCAGTAGTTCTGAGGTGATGGCTTTTCGCTAACCTTTGTGGTCTTCGGTCAAGAACCGTGGGACCCAACAAGCACAAACTTTCCTATAGCCCAAGCTCCCAATCATCTCCTGTTTTGCACTGTGCCATATTCCAAGTTTTTGGGCTACTGTGTCCACAGTCACATGCCTGTCATCTTGAATGATCTCATCCACTCTTTCCTTGTTGCGTTCAGTTGATGCTGTTCGAGGATGACTGCTCCGAGGCTCATTTTTGATGCTGGTGTTCCCATGTTTAAAATGTTTCACCCATCTTCGATCACTGCTCGCACCCATGCACACTTCCATAAGCATGATGAAGTCTCTGGTGAATTTCTGCAGCAGGGATATCCTCTTTCACAAGAAATTCGATGACAGCACACTGGCGAAAAAACATATGGTTGTCGGCCATTTTGTTAGGAGTGATACTGGTCATGTGATGCAAGCTATTGACATCACAAGACACTCAAGGTTAGCACAATAGCTGGTTCCACCTACCACCATACTCTCTTTCGTCTGCTGTTCCCAGGTTGCATGCAAGAAAAAGTTGCTCATGACTTTTGGTACGACCTACGTATAATGGCTATAGAAATGAAAATATAAGCACGTGAAGTCTTATAATTGGTCTTTCAGAAGCTTTTTGTATAATAATTTTTTAACAATATATGATTGAGATGCTGAATTTTAAAAGGAGGCCAAAAATTATAAAATTAAACACCACAGTAACAAATTAGATGTTGGGGGAATTTAATGTGTCACTGTCAGAGAGATAAGAACATGGAAAAGAACAACTTCACTGGTTAAGTATTCAAGCTATGGAGACAAGATGTTAATGGCCAAAATTCCAAAAACTAATCCTGACTGTAATATTAAGCGTTACCCGCTGTTCAAGAGCTGCCACATCTGACTTTCGCTGACGAAGCCTCAGCAGTTCCTTCTCTGCATTACTCACTTCACAAAGCGCCACATTCAACTGGCGCTTGAGATCCTCCATCTCAGATGACTGGTTGTCTGTGTCATATAGGGAACTCTTCACAGAATCCAGCTGAAAGAGAGAACAGGAATCATTGAAAGGTCACGAAGTACACAAAGGTCAGAAAATGCAGTCACTCTTATGACAATTGCACATATTGATGAGCTCTGTGATATTTCATATAAATGTTGGTAGTACTGACACCATCCCATATGACAAACTGGGATTCATTAAAGTCATTACATAATGGATACACAAAATGTGATGACAGTTAAAATGTTAGTAGCTCCGAATCAACAATGCTGTAATTAAATCTCCAACTAAAATTTCAAATCATGATCAAGAGGTTAAAATACTGCGACGTGCTGTGCTATGGAGGACACCCTCCCCCTCCCCTCACCGCCAGCGGTGATGTGCCGAGCGGAGCCGAAGTGAGCCGTGTCCAAGCATGCTGGTCACTATGCAAAGCGAGTAAACAGCGGTTGCTAGGCAAAGCGAGTAAACAGCGGTACCCATTATGTAACACGGGATGCCGCAGTTGCTACGTAGCCGTAAACAACTCCCAACAGCGTTGCTAGGCTATCGGCAAACACAGCGACTAGGGAACAAGGAAGCTAGTCGTTTCCCGTTGTCTGGCTGAGGGTTTATAAGAGAACTGCACTGCCTAAGGAGTCAGTTGAAATGTAGCCATTGCCGAAGACAGTTGGAATATAGCAGCAGTCGCAGAAAGAATAACCGGACGCATGTGTAATTGTGTAATTGGGAGTGTGTAATACAGAGAGACTTGTATAGCTCCCGTACTGTGAATACGTGTAGACTACTGAGGACAGTGTGAAGAGATTTGTGTGTAGGGTTTGTAAAGTGTGGAAACCTGTAACATTGTTATAATTAATTGTAGCCAAGACTTGTAGGTTGTTAAATAAACCAATTAACAATCCGAACTGCATCTTCAGTAACTAAACACGTTACAATACAAATATTGTAATGGAGGCTTTCTGGGGAAAAAACCCTCTTGGAAAGAATCTGTTTGAATTATTGAATATATGAGTGGACACCATAATATAGTTAAGTTAGTCCAGTAATTCACATATCAACAATATCTGAAATAATTATATATTTTGTACAGCACACAAACACATTATCAATTTACTCTTTAAAGAGCCTAAAACAGCTGACCCTAGAGTAGAGTCTTTCCTGCTAAGGCAACAGCCACTCAGGGTCTCTGTCTTTTCTAACATCCAAAGGTTCACAACCACACTCGCAATAATCTCTCACTCTTCTCATTCCTGTGTCAGACTACTCTAGTCCACACCCTCACATTCCTTCCCTTTAATTTATTAATATGCATTCAACTATGCCCAAGTCTTCCAAGTGGTCTATTCCCTTCAGATTTTCTGACCAAAACTTTGTGTGTAATCTCATCTCATCCATGCATGTTACATGCCTTATGCATTTAATGCTCCTTAATTTGATCACTCTTATGATACTGGGTGAAGAGTACACATTATGAAATTCCTTATCACGCAATTTTCTCCAGCCTCAAGATTTTTTATCTCTTTTAGGATGACATATTCTTCTCACCACCCTGTTCTAAAAAACACACTTGGTAAGGGATCTTAAATTATGTTGTATTAACTTACTCCAATACTTTCTTCAGCATCAGACTCAGGAAGTTCACCACAACAAGCCAGCAACAAATCATCGGCTCGCAGTGAGTCCAGAGTTGATCGTCTTGATGAAGGTGGCGATGACCGTGACCTCTTGTAAACTCGTGACCTACAATTTGATATTAATCTGTACAGAAAGTTTATATTGCCCATTCTGTTTAATTAAAAAAATTAAATCTATCCCTGTAACAGGCTGTGGAGGCCCATAGGGCTGTAAGATGTCAAGGCTCCCACATTTTCTAGACAATAGGCTCACAGATGGAAGTGAGGTTGTCACACTTATGCACTGACCACCATTTATGCCCCAAAACTTCCTGGTAATCATTTCTGTTAGAGGCTGAGTCAGTCCCAGGGCCATAGTGAGGCTAGCAGGATTGGATCGATTGAAAAATCCAGAGACATCGGCAATCGAACCTGTGACCTTCGGGCTTGTAGCATAGTGCACCTTTTGTTAAATAGCTTATATACATGGATTTGTATGAACCACAGTTAATGAATAAGATCTAAAGTTTGTGATGCTGGTATATTAATAAAATTATTGTGTTTTTGGACACTATTCATCATCCTAATCTTTATTTACATGACATTTCAGAGACTGGATTCGGTCTCCATCCTTATGTAAAAGATTACTCAGCAGGGTTTTTGCCTGATGTTGGAGACAGAATCCAGTCTCCAAAAAGTTGTGTTAAAAAAAATAGGACAATGGATAATTTCCAAAAATATAATACTCATAATTGCATAGTTATAGAAATTTCCTTTCCAAATTCATCAGTTACCTGGCTTTTTCTTTTACTCTGGATATAGGTGTCCTGTTCAAGGGTGGTGAAGGAGGGAGAGGAGTAAGAGGCTCTCCCCAGTCTTCACTTTCCCTACGTCCTCCTTCTGATGCCGTGCGATACTCTTCATCTGATGAGAAGAGTAGTGACCGAGGAGTAAGAGGTGTACTGGGAACAATTGAAGGTTCTTGTTCCAACCTGTAAGAATTGAATTACAATAACAACACAGCTCCTGTAACTCTTCTTACTAACATTTCAAATTATTAAGTATTAGTGTATAAATTACCTTTTGTGGTGAGTTAGTTTAGATTAACTTGGGACTCCATTTAGGTATGTGGGGTATTTCTCACAATTTATTTTCACTAGTAAGCCAAAATGCATTCTATCCAGCACTATTTCAGAGGGTATCCAACAGTACATTGCATCAGAGAAAGAAATTAAAATATATTACTAACAGTGAGAAAATAATGGACTTCAATTCAAGATATAGATGTAATGGTAGTTCTGGCACATAACATTTGACACTATCCTTTCAAATATTTCAGAGATTTAATTTTAATTAAACCAATTACAGTAAACTCCTGGTTATCTGGTATCCAAGCATCCAGAATTATCATAAAACTGGAGAAAATTTCAAAGAAAATGTACCATTTTTACAGTGTTGTTAAAAAACAAATTTGCAATGTGCCATGCTATGCAGTAGTTCTCCCAATGCTTTCCATTCCTCTCGTGCTGGTGAATTACAAAAGAGGCCAGTTCAATTTGTGATCACATTACAGTATACATAACCAAAATCTTTCAGCTGTCAAGCTGCCATATTGTCTAGGAAGACTCCTGCTCAAGAACAAAAACAAAAACATGTTGCTCTCACTGCTTACTGGGTTTCTATAAAAGTTTTCTCATGCAATAAGCAGATTCATAGACCCAGCAGACCCCACTTCATACATTTTGGATAAGAGCTAGTTTGCTGCACAAAGTACCATGCCTTCTTGGTCACATCTGAGTGTCTACATTTCTCTTTCTAAAATGTGGTGATTGTAAAGTTCAATGACTTTAGTTTGGACTTCAAAATCAGTCAGAAATGCAGTGACAATTTTCTTAATAATGAGCAGATACAAGGGCAAGAGAGTTAATAAGATGCAAGTGCTCATCATGTAAGCAATACATAGATGTCATCTGTATGAAAATATATGATGTAATACATAAGCGCGTCCACATGCACACATGTAATTTGCTATACAATGCTAGGGGGCCCTATGCCTAAGCAGCATTATGCTCTGCTGCCTACCCTTCCATGCACTCCAACCCTTTCCTCACATTTTTCTGCTTCTCACTTCCACCTCAAAACTCATCCAGAAGAAGGCACCTGCAATGTGTGCAGAAACATTTAAAAAAACCTCAGCACACAATGCATCTGAAAACCAAAATGTGACAGGATGGGAAAATGCAGGGACAAGAAATACACTGCATCATGAGGAAAGAGGACATGCAGTGTGTGGGGAAGTTGTTCACATAGATTATTCATAACCTTGATATACTGCAGAGCAACAAAGTTTTAAAGAAATATTAAGTATGCTAAATCAACTATAAAGAATCAACATTACATACTTTGATTTATTACTATTCTATTTAATGATCTTTTGATACTGATGGAAGACTGAATGTCAAACATGTGTATGTCACATGAGGCAGACTGTGAAAAAAAAAAAGGTTCATGGAATTTTAGAACTTACTGCCCAGTGGGTGATGCAAGCTGCTGTGAATTGTCCAATTCTTGCTCAAGCCTCTCACCCACACTCAGAGTTCTATCACAGCCTCCTGCAGATGGAGGTTCTTGTAAGCCTGCAGCTTTACGCAATGCAGACATCCAGTTGGCACGAATACCAGCTGTCACAGCTGATAAAACATACCGACGTTCATCCCATGCCTGAAAGACAACAAGAATGCGCCTTTTATGTATTTAATTGGCAATGCAGAGGTTACAAGAGACTTTCTAGCACAAACAACCATACCATTATTTTAAGGCTTTGACATGTACATGTGGAAAACTTTCATGAAACCAGTATCTTCAAATAACTCACTTACTAGAATTACAGAAACAATAGCTTCATAACTGCCACAACAGAATATTTAGAATGCTTAATAAAGGTTTCCTTTCTGATGACAAGCAATGGTATATTATATCAATAAAAGTTCCTATGAACAGCAGAAAACTCTGTTTAAGAACAAGGGAGTAACAGGTTGTTCCTGAAATAAGAATGAACTTTGTAGTTAGCAGAAGTTTATTGACTTTTGCCCCCCTTCCCTTAAAAATAGAGTGGGAATACTTTTGACTATAAAACACATTTTTGAAGACATCAAAATGAGTAAGAAAATTTAAAGATTTATAAAATAAAGTCAATGCACAGAGTAACATAATTTTCCATTTTCCATCAAATTTCATCAAAATTAAATTTCACTTCACCAAACTGAATTCCTAGCTCCCCTGTATTTGTTGCATTAACATCTCTCTTTCAAGCCATAATGACAAGTAGTTCAGTTCACAGAACTTACTTCTGATATCTTTCTCTGTCACGGACAACTCTTTAAACTGGTTTCTGCTCGGTTTCATGACTTTCCTGTTCCAAGCACAGAAGTGCATAGCTGTTCCTTCTAAAGCTGCTCCATTTGCAACTAATCTATTAAACATCACCCAATAACACCTACACACCCACCTTGCCTTTGTATATATTACAGGACAGACATAAATTATGGTCTGGTCTAGAAAACCGAAATTAACGGCCGTGGGAATTCATTGTGCTGACCACGCGACACCCTCCATCCGCAAAAGTTGGCACTAACTTCACCGACAAGCGGCAGTCGCTCGGTTGGTCGGTCGGTCGGTATAGTTCGCTTGTGGACTAAAATCATGGAGTTTGTTTTGTTCATAAATTATGGACCATAGTACAGAGTGATTTTTTATGCAAGAATCCAGTGTTAGGAATGTAAATAACATCATGGATTAGAGAGCTAGTGTAATTTTGGTGAAACTCGTATGTGCAGTATGTATTATGCACCATCTTTAACACAGCCCCAAAATGGTTCCAGCCCTCTAATGCGTGACATTAACAATCCTAACATTGGGTTCTCATTTTAAAAAATCACCCTGTACATTAGTACAAAGCAGAGAGACAAATATTACAAAAAGACACACTAACCAAAGTTTGGAAACCATAGTTGCGAGCAACCTGAACTTCAGATATAGAGTTCACACCATTAAGGTCTATGACTCCATCCAGAATACCCTTATCCTCAGCTGTAGGGTCACGGTAGTACATCAGTGCTGCCCCACGCAGAACAAACCAGTGCTTGTTCCATTCCTGAAACAAGAACTTCATCTCATAGAGCAGGTTTTGGTTGTGATGTACTACATACAGACATATTTTGTCACTCAGTGTTACATTGAACTATGTTTGACATGCAAGCCACCCTTGTATTGTCTCTTAAAAATAAATAACACTTCATTTCCTCCTGAGCAGCTAAAATGCCACTCTTTTGTAGTATCTAACTGTATGCAAGAAAATTTCATGGCACACGAAGCTGAAGAATTTGAAATACATTCATCAAACACAACTATTTCTTATCAGCACTAAAATGGACTGAAGTAGTGTGTGCCTCCAAATCAAATTCTATAAGGTCATAATCTTTCAAAATAAATTTTGTTATACAAACTGTTAAAACCATGAAAAAATAACAACAGCTAAACAATGCAAGGTTGCACTTTACTTCTATGACAGTAAATGATGAAACATTATACCCATGAAAGTGAAACATATTTTAATGGGCTAAAGTTTGCAACTAAACTACTAATGTGGAGTTCTGAGGTTATGTCTGACAACTTTCTGGCATGCTAGTAGGAATTCTGTCACAATATAGGTCTTTAACGTATGTACTCACTAACTCACAAGTTCTGTTGGCAAAGCTATACAAATCGAAGCAACAAAAGCTCTGTTCAAAGTGGCTGTACATACCCATCAAAGCCTAAACATTCCAAGCTATTTTTTTCCCCACAGCTTCATTTAAAAAATGTTGCTTCTTTCCCTTTACATGCTTTACACCAAATCCTCCTTAACTGATCATCCTATTAGTACACGTTAGAGTGCACACACCATGAAGTTGATTGTTTGCTTTGTAACTTCTGACATTTCTCATTTAACTCATTCTCTAAGTTTAAAAACAGACACATATGAAACACATGATACACATAAAGACTCTGCATCTTTGTTTCTTTAGTTATGCACAGTCTCATCCATCCAGAAAACTGTGAAATATCAGTTACTAATGATCATTGCATCATTAAATTTATCTCCTACTGAACCAAGTTCAAAATACAAGTAGACTTACTTTTCATTTACCATACTAACTTACTTTATTGGGTCCTTGCTTCATGAGCCAGCCCTTCTTGATGTTCAGCAAGTCTTCAGCTGGGAGGTCAACACGTAACTCTGAGCTTGGAGAGTAGCGATGCGTAGATATGTCCAATCCACAACCGTCAGGATCCCCACGGACCTGTTATCACATCAAAGCTTTGTCACATGTGGTCCAGAACACAAAAAATCTACATAAAACATAAAATATTGTAACGTGTTTCGTTACCGAATACGCCGTAGAGATCATTAATTGGTTTATTTAACAACCTACAAATCACGGCTACAATTAATTATAACAATGTTACGGGTTTCCACACTTTACAAACCCTACAACAAAATCTCTTAACACTATCTTCAAGAGTCTTCACGTATTAATAACGCGGGAACTATACAAGTCTCCCTGAATTACACACTCCAAATATAACTGGTTATCACAAACTATCACTGATTCTCGCACACGCGTCTGTAGCTCGTAACTTGCGAACTGAGAACTCGTTGATAACGCATTCGCTTGTAGGCTTGCTCGGAACTGAGCTCGGTGATGGCCACGTTACAACTCTCGCAGCCGCTGCGCAGTTCCCTTATATAGCTGCAGTGCTTGCCTGTTGTGTAATGAGTGCCACGTCATCCTGTTACATCACCGCGCGTTGCACATTACGTTACCGTTTGGAGGGGGGGAGAGGAGGGCTGACTCACCCACCGCGTCACTGCTGGTGGGGTGGGGGGGTTCTCCGTTGCGCAACATGTCACAATATTAACAAAATTGAATTTCACAACTTAAGCTTTCAAGTAAGAATGTAGCTCTGACTGGTCTACAGATTCTCTTACAGAGCTCCCAACATACAGACACTCTATACATACGCGTTCTTTAATGGTATCAGCAACTCAGACTATATGGCTTTGATAGGATAATTGGCAAATAACAAATTGTAAGTGAATGGGAATGTAGTGGTCATAGCCTAATCTGAGTTGCTATATCAGATATTAGTCTGGAGGGACTGAGGTGAATCATGAAAAATTTCAGTAGGCAGAGTTTATGTACTGGTTCAGATTTGAACTGAGCACCTCCTAAACATAACTTTAGAGTGTTAACATTGCACTAACCCATTTTGTCCTCAACAATATATAGCTTAACACTATTGTTGCAACATTTGACTGAAGTCGAACATGCATCCATTACTGCACAGTGCAACATTCAACTTCAGTCCACAACAAGAAATAGTCTTCTCCTTTTGCTGTGGCATTCAACTTCATTCACTAGACAATTAAAACATATTTATGTTGCTCTTTTTTTTTCATATTCTTACTTTAAAATTTCATTATTTTATGAAAATGGTGAGAAATGAATACACAACAAAAGGGTTAATTTAAACTTATTCATAAGGATGGACATCTGGGAACATCCCACATACTAACACGTGGTTTCCCCAGTCTAACAGACAGCACTCACTCCTAGTCAACATCACATTGCCGCACGTTGCTGCCACCACTCATATTTATACAGCACTCGATGTCCAGCCCACCTGCAGATCATCACGTGTGCTAACCAATCAGCATTCACAATCACAACTGCAAGTTTGAGCTCCACCCAGCAAGCATAGTATAAAAGTGGAGCCCAAAGCTCACAATCATCAGTGATCACATTCAGTTCAGAGTGATCAGTCATCATTGTCATGAGCTGTTCAGTGCACCAAAGACAGCTGCCGCAACTCTCCTGCAACCACACTCTGCTACCAGACAGCTAACGTAGCTGCCACAGCTCTCCAGCAACCGAGCTCTGCTACTAGACAGCTAATGAAGTTGCTGCAACTCTCCAGCAACCTCGCTCTGTGACCAGGCAACTAACGTAGTTTCCGCAACTCTCCAGCAACCTCACTCTGAGACCAGGCAGCTAACGTAGTTGCCGCAACTCTCCAGCAACCATGCCGTAGGCAGCTGTTACTACCGGCGCACACAGCACATCACCGGCCATACAGACCAGCTAAACGGCCGTAAAGACTTGGTCTACTACAAAGGAGCAAATTCTACCAGCGCACTCACGTTGGAACAAACTGCCCTTTTCAGGGCCAGCCAACTTTTGAATATTCCACAAAGCTTCGCAGCTATTCTTTACATTAAATTTATACAATTTAATATATACAATTGTTATAGTTTTACGTGGTTGTCTTCTAGAACATTGACAATCCCACAGACATATGAATATGACCCAACACAAAGCTTTCCAGTTTCTGCTTTGGGCACAGAATGCCTAAGAATATACATATAACATATATATTGTGACATGTTGCGCAAAGCCGAGCCCCCCCCCACACCAGCAGTGACGCGGCGGGTGAGTCAGCGCTCCACTCCCACCCCTCAGCGGTAACGTAACGCTCGCGTAATAGGCGAGCAATCACCCCGCATCCTGGCAGCTACGCGCGGTGACGTCACGAGCGGAGCCGGAGAGAGCCGAGCGGAGCCGAAGATAGCCGAGCCCCGTAACCGGGTAACTATGCAAGGCCAATCAACAGCGGTGATGTAACAGGATGACATGGCACTCATTATGCAACAAGCAAGCACTGCAGCTATATAAGTGAGCTGCACAGTGGCCGCGAGTCGAGTTCTAATGTGGCTACCAGAGAGTTCTACTGTAGCAGTCGGCGACTTCAGTTGTACTGTGCCAGCCGCCGAGTTATAAAGTAATAGTTGCCGAGAGTGTGTTATCAACAGTTCTCCAGTCAGCGGACTACAGTTGGAGTATAGCAGCCGTCGTGGAAAGAAGATCCGGACGTGTGTGTGATTGTGTAATTGGGAGTGTGTGATACAGTGATACATAGCTCCCCTACTGTAAACGTGTAGACTACTGAACACAGTGTGAACTGATTTGCGCATAGGGTTATAAGTCGTGAAACCCCGCAACAGTGTCGACAGATTAATGCGATTAGGGTTATAAAGTGTGAAACCCCGCAACTGTGAGATAAGTAATTGTAGCCGTTACTTGTAGATTGTTAAATAACCCAATTAACCATCTCTACGGCGCCTTCAGTAACGCAAACACGTTACAATATATTACATATAACTGTGATCTCTATACAAAATTGTATTAACTGGTGGAAACAATCATACTTTGTATAAACCCATCATGGTTACCTTTCATAGTGCTATTACACAGTATACTCTAAGATTGTGGTTAATTCAAAGACTACAAAGAAGATGTATTCTTACAAGTTTATCTCCTCCACCATCAATGTGATCTTGGTGAGAGATGATCGGACTGTCTGTCCTGTCAAACCCTTTCTTTTGTTCTTCCTCACTATATTCTCCATCTCTTGTGGGTTTTGTCTGGTAAACAGGGTGTACAGCTGCAGCAGTACTGTGGGACTGAATGTTGCGACGGCACCGTGGTCTTGTTAGTGATTCTGCAATATCCTTCAGCTTCTCATCACGTTGTTTGTCACATTCACTCGTGTATTCTTCCAGAAGAATTCTGCGTGCATCATGGTGGTCACCTGGGTACATAATATAACCAGAAAAACTTTAAAACCCTCGACTACCAAAAATCTCACATGTCATTAATATGAGTGTGTCACAAAATTTACAACTGCACTTTGTTCAAATACAAAGAAACATATCTCCAAATGAGGGCTCTTAATGCATGCTATACCGACCAAAATTATAATAAGACAAGAATGAAAGAGGCAAGGCATAGATGATGATTCAGACAGAATGATTGAACTCTTGCATTTGAATAGGTTATAGAATTTTAGATAACCCTTCTACCTACAGACTGTCTAGCCTCTACTTTAACCAAACTTGTCTGTTATAAGTCTCACAATGAAGAATCTGTTGGCAAATATTATAAAATTGCCTTATGGGCTTACATTTCCCTCCTCAAGTCTATTAAGCAATGTTTCTGATGATATACGAGCCAGAACCTACCAGCAATGTTTGCCGCTGTGCAAAATGCCATCTACTAACATTTCATTGCCATTTCTCCACTTGGATCTAACATGCATCATCTGCATGGAAAGTCACTTTTCAAGAAATGGAAAAATTCAGCATAATCCTCACGAGGTGAGGCAATTATTTTCTTTTTTCTTTTTAAAATTTCTACTTTGCTTTAACACTTGATTTTCATTTTATTTACAGATTTCTGGGCATAACTGGTATGGTTGATTTTGTGAGACTGCCTCTTTTGTGCAGGTTCTTCTTCAAGATCCACCAGAAGACTGTTTTACTCTGATATTCTATTATAATTTTTGTGTATTCAATAATAACTTAAAAGGTAATAATTTGTTATTAATGGGCATGCGGTAGCGTAGTTGGTTGAGGCACTATGCTACAAGCCGGAAGGTCATGGGTTCAAGTCCTGATAAGGTCACTGGATTTTTTCAATTGACCTAATCCTTCCAGCCGAGCTATGGTCCTGGGCTCGACTCAGCCTCTAACAGAAATGAGTACCAGGAATATTCTTGGAATATTTTTGGGGGGTAAAGGGCGGCTGGTGCGTAGGACTGACAATCTTGCCGCCATCTATGAGCCAATTGTCTAGAAAATGTGAGAACCTCAACATCTCACAACCCTATGGGCCTCCACGGCCTGTTACAGGGATAGCTTTACTTTTACTTACTTTACAGAGCCTACATTAAAAAACTCCCTGCAACAATTAAAGTGCAAGTCCAGTGAACATGATTACAACTTAAATTTGAGACCAAGGACTAGCAACTGCATGTACAGAAATACATCTCCAGTTGGGATTATGTGCTGACATTTTTAGTAAAACACATTTCACCCCTTGCAAGAGTTAGCTTCCAGTAATTTTGTGGACAACGTATTGGTAATATGGCATTTTTCAAATTAAATTTCCAAACTTCTTTATCTCCACAGAATATTCTGACAAGCGAATTAAAATTACAGCCTAATAGCCAGGGTACCTCCATTGTTTTCATTATACATATAAAGAATCTCCTCTAACAACATTCTTCTACATCTGCCAGATGGCTGCCTGGCTCAACCTCATAGTGGCACATCCTTATAACTAATCAGCCATACCTATCTGGAACTTACATCTGTCACACAGCAATAGAAGTACTTCAAAATTAACTGTTTTTTATAACAAATAATGCCTCTCTCTACCCTTAAACTATATCTCACTAAAAGTGATCATATGAAAGACAAAAGTCATCAAACAGAGTGCAGTGTTCCTAGAACTCACAATCTATGGACTGATGCAGTAATGTAAATTCTATATAAATCACCACAGTTGACCGTGAAGATGGAGGCGATACGTTCCTTCAAAACATCGGTTGACTTTCAGTGGACTACACCGTGTTAAATCCCAGATGGCAGTACCCTATATAGTTTGTGTTTTAACATTATAACCTTTAAACACCAAAGACTCACTAGATAAATCAATTATAATAAATTGCACCTATACTGTCAAAAAGCATGGTTAGATATGCCAGTAACAATTAAATATGTAGACTGTTATTTGTTTTGTACAATGAACCGTGCAACGGTTCTTCCCCGTGAAGTTCCTTGGAGTCCCCCCCCCGAAACGCCAGGATGCGAGCCGTTCCTCTTTTTCCACTTAAAGTCTTAGCTGACGTCAGGTCAGCTGACCTTGTCTCCCCCCCTCCTGGAAGCAATGCGAGGTTTCCTGGTTAAGCAGAACGAATGTATCGTTCTCTCTTCCCGATACCTCCGGTCAGGTAACTTCGCTGCTTCCAAATTCTGTGTTTAGGTTGATTGAACTTGTGAAATTTCGTTTCGGCCCTTGCAGTATCCGAAGGGGGAAGAGTGCCCTCGCGACCCGATCGAGGTTGCATCGAGTCGTGAGGTTAATCTTGTGTTGGTAATTTTGGAAACGCCAGTAACTGACTTACTGTTGTATTTGGTTTCCTTTTCATCACGACGCCGTGTGGCGTAAGTAAATGGATTTGTTTGAAGTTTGAGTTGGCTTGAATAGCCGGTCGCCCCTCAGGCGTGTCAGTACGAGTGTATATTTCTTTGTACCCTTAAGGCTCGCCAGAGTACAGTCTTTACGGTTGATTATGTTTTGACCAGTGCCTGCCCATCAGGCAGAGTACACCTGTATACTTTAGTTATCAATATACACATTTATTTATATGTTGGAAACACCAGTCGTATTTGTGTATACTTGGGTAGTGTGTGTTCCCTACTAGTTCAGACTAGCAGATCCGTCCAGCTTGGCCCATAGCGCCGACAGTGGTTTTCCTCTCCCGAGATCCCCTACTCGACCTTGGGGAGGCATAGTGCATCACGTACAAGCAAGTCGTCTTATGAGCCTGTCCCTTACCCATATTGAGCAGGAGTTCACGGGTCTAAGTGGGTAGGAGAACTGGGTTCTCGACCCACAGGGTCAAGGGACACGGCTCAACAATTTGAGGCAGAGAGAGTGTATACAGAAAATGCACTGCTGTTTTACTGGTTCATGAACCAGTAAAGGCTGACACCCACTGATCAGTATAATAACTATATACTGTTCAGTTTTCACAACTGCATAATATTCATTGTAGGTACATACTTGGACTCTCTGCCTTGCTACGATCCCTCCATGTTGGTAGCATCCCTGAGAAGTCCTCAGAGAAACTCCGACCAGTTTTCACCCCTCGTTTCTCTCTGTTTGCAACTCTGCGAGTCCTAATCTTTTCTTCACTCTGAATCTTATCCCGTGTAGGTGGTGATGCAGAAGAAGCTGGCTGGTCACGGTAAACTAAATCAAAGGCAAATACGTATATGTAGTATATATGTATGTAGACAACAATACTTTTCAAAAACAGAAATATCAAGCACATCAGAGTCTGTAAACCAAACAGTGGAATGTTGGTTACTCAAAAACTGGCTGTCTCAAAAAAACAAAGGGTTATGTTGAATAAACTCTTTCAAGCATCTTAAAAGTATGCATCCTATTGTGCTCACAAAGTTTTAAAGAGATTTATCACAAAATATTTCATTTCCATTTTTGTACAATTTTAATTGTTACGTTTAATCTTTAGTCTTTAATTTCTAAATTTTATTATCCGAGTATTTTAAATTTTAACGGAAAGATTCAATTTATGCATTTAAAACTCTCAAGAGTACAATGAGGATCCTTATTGAAGAATTAAATTCAAATAGTTAGATGAAATTCAACAACTGAGACTGGGATCATTGTACACCTGATGAAGACCCAGTATATGGGTCGAAACACGTGTCGATAAAAACAAATGTTGATACACCAGTGCCTACTTTGTTTTTAAATACAGAATACTGTTGTGTAGACTGCATACTTTTGTATACATTTATACAAATGTATACATTTGTATACCTTGTTTCACGCATGTTAATTTACATTACTGTCCTACTTTCAATACACTCAAGTTGTCAAATATGCAGAACTACCTCATTAATCATTTACTCCTGTTTTATTGTCTGAAAAAATCTAACTCCATAAGGTTTTATCAGAAGTGAAATGTAATTCCCTGATCTTTTTGTACTTTAACTAGAAATATTATAATCATTTGCAATGACCTTCCAGAAGAATATACCAATAATTAGTCTGCAAAGATCACAAAAAAGAATAACGGCGATTCTGTAAAAATTGTAAGTCATGCCTGTAGGACCTGTACGCTTGCAGTAATCAGTGTCATTTAATTGTAATCATTTATATGATTCCTACAGCAGCTGTAGTCAACTCTATAAAGAATGATCTTAAGTTAAAAAAATTAATAGGTCTGCAAGTTTTTAAAACAAACTTCCTTTCTGTCAGGGTCACAACAATTAAAATGCTTACTTTTCCTTGAGTCCACAGGTATTGTGACTGGTACTTCAGGTGCTGGTTGCGTTTCAGCTGGTGGGGTCACATCTCGTGTGGGGAAGGCTTCTGCCTCCACTGGTAACCATGGTGGTGATGGGCTATGCCGCAGAGAGCTCGGTTCAGTGTGGCAGCTGTTGAATCGTGGTCTTGGTTCGCTAGGTGTTGTGGCTGGATGTAGAGATGCAGTGCATTCCATTAATATATATTTAAATAAAAGGAAAATGACAAATGTGTTATATAGCAATACAATAAAGAATGGTAACAAATTTAATTCTACATTACATGCATATTTAAAGTTATATTTTACCCAACAGATTCATAACCAGAAACAAGTTACAAAAGGCTACCAAAAAGTATCCTTTCTCCGTGCTTGTTTATGATAATCAACTGTCCTCACCTACTATAGCAGATGGGTATGTACCTTAGATGCACACCTATTACAATCAGGAAGAACAACATTCATGAACACCTGAATAGTATGCACTAAGCAGGCACAGACATAAGGAGAAATATTGATTATTTTAGCATAGAGAATATTCCCCTGATTAATAGTAAAATAAAAAAAATCAAGCATTGAAATCAGGTATCTGACATGATTTAATATGCATGTCACAAATGTAGGTGCCATTCATGTAACAAATAATCCTAAGGTTCCCTCACCCCTGACTGAAGGAGGCTGCTGCAGAATACTGGTTGCCTGACCTCCAGGAAAAGTTGCATTGCGCTTATGCCGACCCTGAAAAAATACAAAACCAACCTATTACTGGAAGAAAATTACACTGTCTTGAGTCACTTCACATCCTAGCAGGCAGACACAAATCCATGCGATACTACATCAGTACCAAGCTACAGAATTAGTATTCTAGTCCATCACTAATTTCCTGATGTTATTCTAATTCTTTCAATACAGAAGTGAGGTTATGAAAGATTACACAATACATAATTCTTCAGCCTGTCCTCCTCTGTTCAGGATGTGAGACAGAGTATACGTATATGACTTATTCTTCACACTATATTTTGATTACTTGTAACTGCTAGCCAAAAACTTGGGAAATAAATGAATTTTCAGTGACAAGCAGTATTTTTCTTTATCTAATTATAATGATAACTTACACCTTAAAAACTTCCACCACATATATATCTATATATATATATATGTGTGTGTGTGTGTGAATGTAAAGGAAGTACACTTTCATTGAGGAAGAAAACATGGCTTTTAATAATGTGCCACTACATCTGTAAAGTGTGAAACATAGAAAAATGGCCAAACCTGTGACAGGTCTTACATTTGAAAATGCAGGTTCAATTTCAAACAAAGTGAAATATTCTGAATTTCATTAGACTCCACACTACTGCCAGGACAGGCTATAAGTGTTGTCTCCTTGCTGCCAACAAAATCATATTTCAAAATGCTGATCAACAGTTTCCAAAAGCTTCATGTCTTAAATATGAGACTTTATATAACAGAAGACAAATTTTGTTTTATAAAGTAAAATCTATTTAAGTTCTGTCTTCTGAGATATAACATTATGCAGTCCTGTGAAAGTTAACTTCTACTGGTCTACACAGTGTGATATCCCAGAAGACAGAACTCTTCTTAGTCACCATTATGAGAAGCTTAGATCCAACATAAACCCTTGCTTATAAATTACTGTGAATGGCTACAACTGTACATTTATACTTCCAATTACAGAATTATTTATTAATGAGCAGATAAATATGTACCAAATGTCAGTTCAAACCCACGCATAGACATTAAAAAAATTTAAGTAAAAGAAGCTGCAACAACCTGCACAACCAGAGATATATGGTTCTCACCAATCAGCAACTTCCAGCTCACTGATCAGGATGCTGACAGAACACTGGCAGTTATGAGAGTGCAGTCAAACAGTGACATCAACACTGCCACCCACAGCAGTTCGTTTTAAATTAATATGGAGCACATAACACTCTTGTTCTGGCCATTCAGTTAACAGTATACCATGATGATGACATATGCAACCTACATGTTAGCGTAGCCAAGTGGAGATGAGCTAAATGACATGACCTAGACATGTCAGTTCCAGCAGGCCAAGAGTTATTGTTCTGAGGATTAAATACAAAATGATGGAACAGTTAAATTGCCAAATGAAGTTGTATGTGTATCTCACCCTGATCTCACTGCATAAATGTACCCCACTAATCAGGTTAACAAAGAGCAAAGTCACTGAATTGTATTTTGGTGGTAAGTGGTTTAACTCTGGCCAAGACTGTCTAACCTGAGTATGATTCTTTTTGTGGTCTTCCTCAAGTCTTCAAGGATACTGTAAGTACAGTACCTACAAACAGGACACAGTAACTTCTTCCCAAACTCTCATGAATTACAATCCATACTGCACTATCATTTCTCATCTGATCCTACTATAAACCAACACAACAAAGGCATCTGATCAACAGAACCACTTACTTACTTTACTTACTCATGGAGCTGAGCCTTTCTGGAGGAGCCGCCAATTCTGCAGCTACTCAAGAATTTCTCAGCATTTTATGGAACCCGACGGTTCATCACAGTGTTCACAAGAGCACTCCACTGGTCCCTATCCTGAGCCAGATCTATCTAATCCATACCATCCCATCCTATCTCTCTAAGATCCATTCTAATATTGTCCACCCACCTATGCCTTGGTCTTCCCTGTGGTCTCTTTCCTTCTGGCTTTCCCACCAATATCCTATATGCATTCCTTGTCTCCCCCATTCGTGCTACATGACCTGCCCACCTCATCCTCCTTGACTTGATCATTCTAATTATACTTGGAGAAGAGTACAAGTTATGAAGCTCCTCATTATGCAGTTTTCTCCAACCTCCTGTCACTTTATCTCTCTTCGGTCCAAATATTCTCCTCAACACCCTGTTCTCAAACATCCTCAGTCTATGTTCCTCCCTTAATGTCAGAGACCAAGTTTCACACCCATANCACATTTTCAAAACATCTGTTTCATCTTTATGTCATGATTTGTCCTGCATTTTGATGACGAGACAGTAACATATACTTAGTTTTCTCTGTGTTTACTTCTAGACCAACCTCTTTCGATCAACAGAACCACAGAAAGTAAAATTTAAAATCATATATTCAGATTCTACACACATTCATCAATAGTAACATAAGTATGTCCATGTCCTCCTATAATCTGTTATAATGGCCATATGAGGTGGATAGGTTAAGATCTAAAAGTTCGTGACAATGATATAGTAATACAATTTTCTGGACATTATCAGTCCTAATTTCATTCAAAACTATGTTTCAGGCACTGGACTCTCATCCTCAGGTATCCCCAGGTGGACAGAATGTTTAATTAACTTGCATTGAGCTATATTAAAACTTGTTGGAATTTTTGTTTTGATAAATGCCAGAAGAAAAAATGTGCTCACAGACACATGTAAATAATAATATGGAATTTTCTGTCTGTATGCTGTTTGAGAACTGCTCTACCTTACATTAAACTGAACACATGCAGTATTAAATGGGAGTTTGTCAAACGACTGTGTCAACAATCCTGCAGTAATGTGTGGGTTTATTGAGAGGTACCAGGTTTGAACAATGGCATGGCAGTATTTGGCTTCACCAATCTTTCTGCTATAGGTTCGTTCTTACCCTTTTCCACAGTATGTACAAGAACTTATTTTTTGTGTATCTGAATATACGCCCAGGCACCATCAGTATTCAGCAAGAAAATTATTGTCATGAGACCTGAGGCTGGGAGGAGGGAGCGTCTCCATCACCTGCGCTGCATGCACCTCTCATTCCATCAAAACCCCGAGACACCCCCACCCCCCAACCCCTTCTGGATCGTTCCTGAGACTGCAGCAAGATCGTCCGAGAACCCTCGAGAAACTTCCCGACAGGCTGTGCCTATAAAAAGTAGCTGTGCATTTATACAGAAGACAGACGCAGTATGAGTCCACCTAATTGCATCGCGGTGCAAACGTGAGGCCAGCGGTGTGCAGACGTGCGTCCAATGCAGCGAGAAGCAGACGTGAAATTGTGCGTACTACCAATTGTGGGTTAGTTCGGTGCAGGCAGACAGAAGACGCCATATGTGGAGAGTTCAATGATGTTAAGGTAAAATAACGAGTGGACAAGGAAATAACATCAACCACAAAAGTAGTTACAGTCGGTGAAACAATAACTGTTTGAAACAATGACAAACATTACAACAGAAACCCTTCATAAGGCTAATATGTTTAAATAAACCAGATCATCTGAAAACTGGTCTGTGACTGGCGTCAATCCCTTATACAACTCGCCAGACATAACAGAGTCCAACTGATATGGGTGCCAGGTCATGAAGGTATTGCTGGTAATGAAACAACAGATTAATTGGCAACGATGGGATGTGAACATCCTCTCAAAGGACCCGAAGCAGCTTGCGGCATTGGGAATCCTTAAAAACAGGCAAAAGGATTTATACAAGGACCCTCTGCCAGAAGAACAAAAAAGCTGTTAGAATTAAACAGAAACCAGCTACGATGGGTCGTAAGACTGTTTACAGGACACTGTCACTTAAAAGGACACCTCTTCAAACTGGGATTGACAGATAAACCTATTTGCGAAAGGTGCCATGAAAAAAGACGAATCGGCCACACATATCTTATGTGATTGTGAGGCCATAGCTTACTTAAAATTTAGTCACCTGGGAAAATTTTTATGGAACAAAACAACTACTATGACGCCCCTATACACACAGTCATACATTTCATTCGAAGTGTGGGATTGATAAAGGGGTAACTAGAAGGGAAAGCACAATAGATCACTGAAGGTTGCAGTATATGGGCCCGATAATCGTGGCCCACCCCTTATGCATTCATTCATGTTCAAATAAAATTTTAAAAGCTGGCTTTACCTTCCTGGATTGACGCTAGATCTCAAGTAAATAGATCACTCAGTTAATGATCTTTGGGGAAGTACTATTTTTTGTTCTAAGAATCAGAAAACTTACAAATAAACTGTGCAGGCGAAATGTATTCTTCAGTGTTAGAGGAAGTGACACACATAGTTACCAGTGCCCTACAAAGATTTACATTTAAACAACAATTTCTATATAATACAGTTGGACATAGAAATTACAGGAAACTGATACTGTCCAACTCCTAAACAAAAGTAGACTCTACATCCACAGTAAGAGCATAAATACTGGAAAACCAATGGAAGACGGTGTGAACAATTTGGAATATCAAATGGCATAGGCTCAAAACAGCATGTTGGAATAGGACATAAGGATTTCATTCCTCAACATCTTTGAAGAATCATACACAATCATGTGAATTATTCACATTATTTCAAAATCAGTTTTAATTACAATTGTTACTTCAGGTTTACAATTATCGCTTTTCGTTACTTTTTTTTTCCTTGGCACTACAGCCACAGTGGGCCTAGGCCTACCTCCATGAACTTCTCCATTCACTTCGGTTTTTCTAGATCTTACACATTCGGTAAGACTCCTTGGGTGGGTGATCAGCTCGTCGCAAGGCCTCTACCTGTACACAAACACAGAAAAACGCACACACACAAACTGAACATCCACGCCCTGAGTGGGATTCGAACCCACGATCCCGGTTTCCAAGCGAGCGAAGACAGTACATGCCTTAGACCGCCCGGTTACCGCGACCGGCTTTTCATTACTTACTGGAATGGAAATCGTTCCCTTGACCCATAATTATTTTCTTATTACTCACCCTATATTAAGCTACATCAATTC